GGTGACTAAGCACAAAGCCTGAACAGCCCCTGGGCAGCTGAGCCCCCTGGGTGTGGGACCCTATGGCTGTGTGGACTGAGCCCTCGGAGGGATTTTATTTTGTTTTCTGGGTTTTGTTTATGGGCCACACCCAACAGTGCTCAGGGCTCAGTCTTGGTGGTCTTGGGATGCCAGGGATTGAACCCAGGTCAGCTGCGTGCAAGGCAAGCATCCTCCCTGCTGTGCTCTGGCTCCGGGTTCCCCGTCCTCAGGGTGTGTGTGGGCAGCCTGGCTATGCAGTGCCCTGGGCTCCTCAGGTGCAGTGAGGATGGGCACATGGGTGCCCCATGGATTTTTGGGGCACTTCTGTGAGGACATGGGGCATAGGGGTCGAAAGGTGGATGAGCACACCCCACTTGGGTCTATTTCCTGGAGCCTTCGCATCATCCAGTGAGGTGAAGGGGGACACTGAGGCCCAGAAGGGCAGCCCAGGCTCAGGGCTGACTGTGGGTCCCTCCTGCACTGACCATAGGAACCACGTGACCATGGCCTACCACAGCTTCCTGGTGGAGCCCATCAGCTGCCACGCCTGGAACAAAGACCGGAGCCGTGAGTGCCCATCACCCCGGGCTCGGGCCAGCTGCCCCTGTGTTGGGGTAGCTCGGGGGGCCCTTTAGAAACAGGAGGTCAGTCAATGCCCAAGGGGGCACCCGCCTGCCCCCCACTCCCGCCTCGCCCTCTCCCCTCAGAGATCGCCATCTGCCCCAACAACCACGAGGTGCACATCTACGAGAAGAGCGGGGCCAAGTGGACCAAGGTGCACGAGCTCAAGGAGCACAATGGGCAGGTGACAGGTGGGTCACCTGCTGGGAGTGGGGGGAGGGGACAGAACTGGCTGGGACCCTTTCTTCAACCCACTCACTGGATCTGGCTCTGCAAATGGACTGGCAGGAAACGTGAGCCTTATTCGGGCTCGTCAAGGCCAGTCCTAAAGGAATGTATCACATTAAGTCAATGAAAACTCAGACTTGGGGGCTTCAGGAGAGGCTTGATCCAGCAGCTCAGCAGTCCCATGAACCTGTTTGTTCTTCACTGTCTCCTGGCTCTGCCCTTTCGCACATGCAGTGATTGTTGGGGGTGGGGGGCTCTAACACCCGGTCAGCTCTAGTGCCAATTCCGGACCCACTGTCCCCCCTACCAACCCTCTGAGGCCTATTGCTGTACAGTGCAGCTTTTATTTTTGTGACCACTGAGTCCCTGCACTCAGGGGGCTTCAGCCTAGTGTCCCCCACCGCGCAGGCATTGATTGGGCCCCCGAGAGCAACCGCATCGTGACCTGCGGCACCGACCGCAACGCCTACGTTTGGACGCTCAAGGGCCGCGTGTGGAAACCCACACTCGTCATCCTGCGCATCAATCGCGCTGCGCGCTGTGTGCGCTGGGCCCCCCAGGAGAACAAGTTCGCCGTGGGCAGCGGCTCCCGGGTCATCTCCATCTGCTACTTCGAGCAGGAGAATGATTGGTGGGTGCCTGGCAGGGGGTGGGGGTAGGACTAGAACATTCCAGAAAGCACTGGGTGGGGGTGTCAGGCCCTGCATGACCCCAGGAGATGTGTCCGATGTAGCTATATGTGGGGGGGCGGACAAGGGCCCCTGCGGTTCTGCATGCTGGCATTGGTGCCTGCCCCCTACCCCGACGGTCTCCACAGACCGCTGAACCTGTAGGCCCCCACCTCTCCCCTGGGCCCCAGCTAATGCTGTCAAGAAACATGACTGAAGGCCAGGTTCGAATCCTCCCGGTGGGCTACCAAGTACAGGGCCAGGAGTGGCCCCTGAGCACCACGGGATGTGGCCTAACCACCCCCTCCCCAGCTCCTCCGGAGACTGCAAAGAAATCTCGGGGGTCCAGAGAGAGTAAAGGTAGAAGGAACTTGCCTCGCAGGCAACTTACCCTGCCCCGCCAGGGGGCGTCCCTGCGCCAGGCGGTCCCTCCCCCCCCCCCCCCCCCCATACAAGCCCTCTTCCCCCTACAGCCAGTGAACTGTGGCAGACCCTGGGCTTGTGACAGGGCTGCAGACTGGAGGGACCCAATGTGGGGGTGCAGGGCAGAGGGCAGCCAGAGGCGGGGGGGTGCCCCATCCTCACCGGCTACCCTGCGCGCAGGTGGGTGTGCAAGCACATCAAGAAGCCCATCCGTTCCACCGTGCTCAGCCTGGACTGGCATCCCAACAACGTGCTCCTGGCCGCTGGCTCCTGCGACTTCAAGTGCCGGTGAGAGCTGGGGCCCTGGAGACCCCATACCCCTCCAGACAGCAGATGGGGCCGCAGGGACCCGCCTCGGGGCAAACCTCGTGATTCCCCGCTGGCCAGCCCCGCCTGGGCCCTCGGCTGCTGCACCAGAATCCAGAGCCTGCCCCCTGTCCAGTCTGTCTGGACACGGGACGAGCTTTCAGTACAAAGGCTCGCGTGGCTGAGCTGGCTGAGACACTCCAGACGCCCCGATGCCTGTGCGTCTCTGAGCTGGGGACCTTGTCTCTGGGCCCCAAACCTTGAGGCTGCACATCTGCAGGGATCCCCTGCCCCGTGCTCACTTCACGCGTCTCTCTGCTCTCGTGCCTCCCTGAGGCAGGATCTTCTCAGCCTACATCAAGGAGGTGGAGGAGCGGCCGGCGCCCACCCCGTGGGGCTCCAAGATGCCTTTTGGGGAGCTGATGTTTGAGTCCAGCAGCAGCTGCGGCTGGGTGCATGGTGTGTGCTTCTCGGCCAGCGGTGGCCGCATAGCCTGGGTCAGCCACGACAGCACTGTGTGCCTGGCTGATGCCGAGAAGAAGATGGCGTGAGTGCCAGCCCAGGTGGGTGGGGTGGGGTGGGTGTGCAAGAGGCCGGGTTGGTGACCTCTCTCCTCCCCCTGCAGTGTCGCCACCCTGGCCTCGGAGACGCTGCCACTGCTGGCCATCACTTTCATCACAGAGAATAGTCTGGTGGCAGCGGTGAGTCATGGGGGTGCTGTGGCCTGGGCAGGGAGGGTAGGCCCAGTCAGGCTATGTGGCAGTCTCTAAGGCATCCCCAGTTGGACTGACCCTTCTTTACTTCCTGCGCCGGTGGGTGCCAGGGACCAGCTCAGCATGTTGCCCGGGCCTGCTAATGTTTCACTGTGCAGAACCAACCCCAAGGAACTGGGTGCCCCTGGGGAGGAATCAGACCTGGAGAACCAGCTTTGGGGTCTCTCAGAGGAAGTATGAGGGCCAGGCAGGACAGAAGCTCCTGAATACAGGAGTCAGCTCAGCTCTATCAACGCCACCTTGGGGCCTGGGGAGCAGAGACAGCCCTTGATGCTCTTCCCCAAACCAGGCTCTGTTGATGGCCTTGGGGTAAGGTCCCTCTCTGTACCACTGTCCCCCGCCCACTGCAGGGTCACGACTGTTTCCCGGTGTTGTTCACCTACGACAGCGCCTCCGGGGTGCTGAGCTTCGGGGGGCGACTGGATGTGCCCAAGCAAAGCTCACAGCGCGGCTTGACAGCCCGGGAGCGCTTCCAGAACCTGGACAAAAAGGCGAGCTCAGAGGGCGGCGCGGGGACCAGCTCGGGCCTCGATTCCCTGCACAAGAACAGTGTCAGGTGAGGGCTGCATGCTGGGGGCACTGGGTGGGGGGTATGTGTGGGTGCAGTCCAGTGACGGGGGTGGAACCTACGGGTCACATAGCCTGGGATAGGAGACCTTAAACTCTCCCAGCCCTTCCGATTGCAGGGATGCACTGGCCAGCGAATCCGTCTGGCCAGCCTGACCACCCCTTCTGTGGTCATGTGGTTCATGATGGAACTTGGCATCTCTAACTTAAGTTTGGGGGGTCGCCTTGGAAGACAGGGAAGGGGGACCAGACAGGACCTGAAAGTCCCCTCTTCTCTGCAGTCAGATCTCAGTGCTTAGTGGGGGCAAGGCCAAATGCTCCCAGTTCTGCACCACAGGCATGGACGGTGGCATGAGCATCTGGGACGTGAAGGTAAGTTCCCCTCCCCACACTGCCACCTTCCTGCGTGCACCCCTGACGGGCTGGGGGTCATACCCGCTGTCACTCTGCTCTCCCGTTCCAGAGCCTAGAATCCGCCTTGAAGGACCTGAAGATCAAATGAGTGTGATCCTGTGAGCCCTGCGCTGCGCCAGGGCCCTGGGCTGAGGTTGCTTTGCTGAGATCCCCAAGCGAGGATTTGGGGCTGCGGGCAGGAGGGGGAGGGCGGGAAGCTTTGCTGACCTAGCCAAAGAATGTGCCTTTTATCCGGGAAACGCTTTACCTACCACAGACTGTTCCCAAGTACGTGCTGGTCACCAACCGCTTTGAGTACAGAGACAATAAACGTATGCTCACGCCTGCTGTGTGCTAGGCGTTTTCTGTGGCTCAGGGCACACCCGTGAAATCCTGGGGGAAGGGGTGATGCACACCCCCATTGACAGCTGGACCCCAGATAAGGTGCTGGGACCAAGCTAGGGGTCTCAAACCTGCCTGGCATGCACACCATTCCTTAGCTGCCGAGCCTGTCAAACTCAAGGGCCTCCCAGATGGGAACCCAACCCTGGAGGCCAGCCCCGGGTGCTGCTCCTGGGTGTGAAGGGCCCAAAGACACGGGGCCTTCCAGGGTTCCCACCGTCCCACCCAGCTCACACACAGCACTTTGTCTTTTTGGCTTGCTGGCCCGGAAGCGTCAGAACCTGAACAAGGTCTGACTTCATGCCCTCTGCAGGAGCACCCTGAAAAACACTTGGGGTACCTGGGACCTGCACGCTGGCCCCTCAGCCACTGTGCTCACAGGCCTCCCTCAAGGGCGCAGCAGGTGTGTAGGGGCACTGGGGGACAGGGCTCTGCATGTGGGTGCTGAGGGATTGTACAGCAATGCCAGCCACGCAGGCCCCACAGGGCGGGTAGTAAGAGCAGAGGCCGGGCACACAGATGCACTGCCAAATGCATCTTTGTACGATAATGTGGAGTTTAATCTGCCAAATATACACGTTGGATTTGTGGAGCCTGCTGGGCAGGGGGCTTCTGAAGTGGGCGCTGGCCGCGGTCAGGGCTCGGGCTCCCGGGCGCCAGCCCCCAAGGGCACGCCCAGGCCCTTCGCCGCAGCCCATGCACGGGAGCCCTGCCTGCTCCCAGGGCCAATTCCAAGAACAGCGAGAACAACTGCGCGTCACTCTGGAAATGCTGTCCTCTATGTCTGTCCCGGACATCGCAGCCACCCTCCCCAACCCCCATCCAGCCCCCAATGATTTCTGTGCCAAAGATGGAGAGGAGACCCCAGGCTGAGGGGGGCTCCTGGCCGAGAGGGGCTGTTGCGGGGCGCTGGGCACAGGGCGGCGGCTCCATCTCCTCCGGGCCAGGCTACTTGCTCAGGGACAGAGACTGCATCCGCTTTCCGGACAAAGTCGCGTCATCTTTTGCTGCAGGCAGGAGGAAGGCAGGCGTCAGGCCCGATGCCACTCGAGGAACGCACAGAGCTGATAGTCTACAGCCACACCCAGCCTGCTGGGGGCCTCCCCTCCACTGAGACCACCAGTGCGAGCCCTCCTCCCTCACTCTCCAGGCAGACCTGAACCCCAGCCTCTCCTGGTGGTGCTGACTCCTGTCCCAAGGCCTGGCTCAGCTGCTCTGCCACCACCGCCGCTGCCGCCGCCACCACCACCACCACCACGGGCCCCAGGGAGGGAGGGGACAGCCACAGCCCTCCAGGCCAGCACCAGCCCTTGGGTCTGGCAGGGCAGTGCTCCGGGCACAGTCGGGCTGGGCTTCCTCTAAGACACCGGCGATGTCTTACAGGACACAGGCCAGGCACGCACCTTTCCTTTCCTCCTCCTTCTTCCGGGCCGCCTCTTCCCGCTGCTTCCGGATGATCGCCAGGCGGGCCAAGTCAGCCTTGGCTTGCTCCGTTTTCCCCGCTAGATGCATCTTCATGTAACGCTCTTTTGCTTTCTGCTTCTCGATTTCTTCTCTGTTTGGAGGAAATGACAGCACAAGGGCCGTTTGCCTGGTCAGCTTAGCCAGAACGGAGGCGTTGTGCTCCAGTCTGGGCCCATCAGGGAGCTGGAATGGAGGCGTCATGCTCCACCCTGGGCCCAGGGTGGAGAATGGAGGGGCCAAGTGGCCAGGGTCCCTGGTCAGGGTGCCCCAGACCGAAGAGGTGCAGCCCCCTAGGGGTCATGCTCCCCCCTACACTGGGATGGGCAGAGCTGGACACAGAGAGGGAAAGTGTCTGCCATCAGCCGGCAAGTTCGAGGGGTGGGAGCTCACGGTCCCCCAGCACCAGGGGTCAGAGGAACTGGTTCCAAGGGGGTGGCAGAACTCACTGCCCAGGGCTGACTGGCTGACACAGGGCAGAGGGGAAGACATGCCTGGGGGCTGTTCTGCTGGGGCCAGGAGGGTGACACCAAGTCCCCAACTACTGCAATGCTCAGGCTCAACGCTGTGGCTCTATTTTCTGTTGGGTTTCTTGGTTGGCATGTCATCCTTGCGCAGGGGCCATGCTAATCTTCTCTCTTTGGTTCCAATTTTAGTATATGTACTGCCAAAGCAATAGCACAGCAGTAGGGCTTTTGCCTTGCGTGCAGCCAGCCCGGCCGAGCTGGGTTCGATACCTCCGCCCCTCTCGGAGAGCCCGGCAAGCTACCGAGAGTATCTCGCCCATACGGCAAAGCCTGGCAAGCTGCCCATGACGTATTCAATATGCCAAACACAGTAACAAGTCTCAAAATGGAGATGTTACTGGGCCCACTCGAGCAAATCAATGAACAACGGGAGGACAGTGACAGTGATTCTTGGTTAGTTTCTGGTGGGGCTCGGGGGGCCATACATGGTGCCAGTGATGGAACCCAGGCTGGCCGTGAGGAAGGCAGGCGCCCTGCCCATCGTCCTATCACCCCAGCCCCTCTCTGGGAGCGTTTGCTAAGGAAAAATATTGGTCTTTGATTTTTTTTCTTCGAAGGAGCTTTTGCAGAGCCTGTGGGGGGTGAACTGAGATCAGCCTGGCCCTGCACCCGCCTTCCCAGGTCCACAGCTCTTACCGTTCTCTCCTGGACAGCTCCTTGGGCCCGTCCAGGTCCAGCTGTGTGACTTTTTTGGTTGTCTGTGCCACCCGGTTGGGGTTCTCAATGTCGATGAGTCCCTCCACGCCTTTGCGCTTTTGCTGAAGCGAGAGGAGCAGAGCAACTGTTGCACGGGGGTCGGAGAGCCCGGTGCCCCGCCCAGCTCCCCACAGACTCCTGCTTTCACCTGGCTGCGGGGGCAACTATGTGACTCGGGTCCCGTCAGGACAGCCACCACATCAGATGAGAGTGGGACCACAGGTCAAGCACCCCCCGTGACCCCGATCCTGTCACTGGCTCTGCGCCAGCCTCTCCTCCCCGCTCCAAGCCTCGTCTTGGAGGTCAGGGTTCCGTGGGGACAAGGTGACCGCCACAGCCAGGCTGGGTCCCCATGGCACTCTGGACAGGGCCCTGAGCCCATCCCTCTGAGCAGAAGGAGTGCGGGGCCCAGAATGTGGGGTCCACCAACGCTTCCAGCCCACCCAAACCTTGTTCTGCTTTTCTTTTTCTTTCTTTTTGGGTCACACCTGGCATTGCACAGGGGTTACTCCTGGCTCATGCACTCAGGAATTACTCCTGGCAGTGCTTGGGGTACCATATGGGATGCTGGGAATCAAACCCGGGTCGGCTGCATACAAGGCAAATGCCCTACCCACTGTGCTGTCATTCCAGCCCCTTGTTCTGCTTTTCAAGGGACCACGGAGATGGCATCCAAAGGACAACCCATCTGGGTCAGGGCTCTGGATACCCCATCCCTCAGCCTCACAGTCACCTTCTGCCCGTACCTGAGACACTCCCCCCCCCCATCTTCACTCAGCATAGCCAACACCCCTTCTCTTCAGCTGCTCATCCAACCTGCCACCACAGCCCACGGACCCCTCCAAAGTGGGGCTCACCTCTAGCTGCTCCGACCCCCCACCCAGAGCCATGAAGCAGCTCCTTGCTCAGACGCTGCTCTCCTGTCATTTCCACTTCTCCAAGGCCAGCCCCAACTTTCATCAGCTCCTTCCCATCAGAGGTCACAGGCCACCACGAGGCGCCCTGGCCAGCACCCCCCTATGACCACTGCTCCCCCTGACTCAGTCCCTGCGCTCCAAGCCTGGGCCCTCCTGTCTCTCACAAGCAATTTAAATGTCAGCCGCTGACCACACTCTCTCTACCTTTGTTCACACCACCATGTTCCCCTCCCCGTGGCCCCACTTCCTGAGCGGCGAGGTCTTGCGATGACGAAGCCAACCCGGCGCAGCCCTCCTGGCCTCGGTACCTGGTAGTCATCATCTTCATCCTCGCTCTCGTCTGAGTCTAGGGATTTTTTCTCCTTTTTGGGGTCCCCTGCAGCCCCTTCTCCACCTTCTTCTTGTTCCTCTTCTTCCTGTTTCAGAAATGGACAACCTGCAGAATCAAAAATGCAAAACAGACCCCAAGACTATGACCCAGACCGCAGGTCTGGAACAGTGACAGCCTGGAAGCAGGACAAAGGTCCAACTCTGCCACCTCTGTCTGTGGGGCATGGGGTCGGGGGGAGCACAGGGGTTACTCCTGGCTCATGAACTGGTTCCCCTCTCAGCTCCGCAGCCCCTCACCCTGATGAAAGCCACATTCCCCGGGCTGGGCCCCTGCAGCTCCCCTGATGCGTGCACGTGTGGCCCATGCACCGGCAGTGAGCCTGTCCACTTGGCCAGCTTCCCAACACACTGGTACTGCTCCTTTCCCCCCAGCCACCCCAGAGCCGCACACTCAAACCCTTACGTATGCCTCCATTTCCCAAGGGCCTGGCCCAGCTCTCCTTGCCCTTATACCACATACTGCAGCGGGCCCCCTGCCCCAGCCCCCAGCCCCGAGCCAGATGCAGCCCTAATGGTGCTATAGGGAACAGGAACAACAGGGTCAGGGCACCAGCTAGGGATACACTTTCTGAGGGTGAATGCAGCAGGAACTGTGAAGTGAACTGGGCAGGAGAAGGGTGGGGGTCCAAGTCATGGAGCAGAGGAGTGGAGGTCTCAGGGTCTGCTGGGGATACCACCACCCCCCGGGAAGGCAGGTACTCACCCTGGCCTTCTGCTTTTCAGCCTGGAGCTGGGCGTCGATCTCCTCAGGGCTCGTGTACTGCCGTGCCCGGCCCTTGTGGCCTCCCTTTCTCCCTGCATGGGGACAGCTGCGTTAGGACAGAAGATGAATGCAGACCCCAGACCCCAAGGTCCATCCCGTGGGAGAGACCTCAAGTGTCCCCTCACCTACCTAGTTCAAAGGAGCACGAGAAGCCCTTTCACCCCCCCCTCCCCCATGGCTTATGCGGGCTGGGGTGCCGGATGCAGGCTCCCCCAGTCAGACACGAGTGGGAGAATGGGGCATCTACACAGCCAGATCCCACCTGGGAACGCCAGCAGGCCCAGACGCGCACTCAAGGGCTTGTCCCTGGGGGCTTCTTCCTGGTACATGCAGTCTCAGACCCCAGAGCAGCTCCCAGACCCCAAGATGGCCCAGGCCCAGCCTACATGGGCAAGGCGGATGGATCTGTTCCACGGAAAGGGCCCATGGTGCTCCGAGTATCAGGCTAGGGCTGTCACTTTTCTAAAGCAGTATTCGGTCAAGAGGCCAGAATAGAAATTCATTATCGTTGCCAGGGTATCATCAAATGTTACATTCACCAAAGTGGCAGTAAAGAAAACATCAAACCCATGGGGGAAAGCCTCGTGCCTGTGCTGGGAAGCCTGGCTGCTCGTGGGACACAAAGCCGACCCCCAACGGGCCACATACACATGACAGGAGTGGAGGACATGCTCTCACTGCACCCTCCCAAGAGCACCCCAGGGATGGCCCCGGACAAGGGCAGCCCTGCCTTCCCAATTGTGACGAGCAATTCAAGGCTAAAACCAGCCAGGTTTTTTTGTTTTTGCTTTTTGGGTCATACCTGGTGATGCACAGAGGTTACTCATGCACTGAGGAACTACTCCTGGCAGTGCTCAGGGGACCATATGGGATGCTGGGAATCGAACCCGGGTCAGCCGCGTGTAAGGCAAACACCCTACCCGCTGTGCTATCACTCAGCCCTAAGACCATCCATTTTATAGGCTGTTCTTGAGATAGGACAACAGTGACCCTGCTCACGCCATCAACCCGTTTTACAGCTGGGTGGCACCCGCCACTCACAGGGGACGCTGTGGTGGCTTTGGTCTCAGTCCAGCCCCACCTTTTCTGGGAGCTGCAGCCCAAGTGACCTCCCACAAGTCTCGAACCTGTAATTAGACAGCTGGGGCCGCTCGGGATGCCGGAGAGCACACCGTGGCCTCCCCACTTCCTCGAGAGCAGCTGCACAGCCCTAATTGGGCTGCCCCGGACCTCCCCACCCACTTTTAATCACTAGTCGGGCTCCCAAGGGTGTCTCAGCCCATGTGCACTAGCCGGTCATCGGGAAACCATCGCCCCTCTGGGATGCATGGAAGAGACCAGAGGTGACCAGAGGGGCTGACGCAGGTTCAAATGGGGCACCTGTAGGGCAACAAAAACTGGACGTGGGTGGTGATCATGACAGAGGAAGAAGGTCGACAGCCAATGAGACACACGGGCCTGGGCTGGGGAGATGGCAGGAGGGGCGGGTCTGATCCAGGCACAGCTCAGGACTCCAAGCAACCATGGGGAATAGCACCTGAGCATCACCGGGCACAGCCAGAAACAAAAGAGACACACACGACACTTGCACAGTCAGAACCGATGCTAAGTCAATCTACTTAAAACCCTACCACTACCCCTACTTGCCCACTGGGCAACATCAACAATCCAACTGGTGGCTCCAGCCACCTTGGCGACGAGGCGCTGCCCAGGCTCTGTCTACAGTAACTTTTATCAAAAGGCGTCATGCCTGTCAGAATGCAGAATACCCGTTACATAATGGAAACAAGGGCCGGTTCTTTGCTCCTGGACACCTTAATGCCTTAGAAAAGCAAGAACACAACGGGCGCGTTCCTTTTCTCTCGCGAGCCCCGCCCCCACCCCGTTTTCTTTTGCCGGGGGAGCCGAGTCACCCAAGCAAGAAACCTCGATGCCTGCTAAGCTCCTCCAGAGCCGAGCCCCGAAGTCATCTGAAGCAAGCTCGTGTCCGCGCCTTTCAAGGGCTGCCTCCAGCCTCGGCGGGGAGCGCTGTGAATTGGGGTGTGGGACCCTAGGCCCCCGCCTCTGGCAGAGCAAGGGAGAGCGGGATCCCGGGGTGGGGGGGCTCTGGGAAGCGAAGGCGGGGCGGCCCTGCAGGCTTATCGCTTGGCCCGAGGGGACAAGGCGAGGGAACATCTGTTGGGGACAGCATCTGTCGGTGACATCTGTTCCGGGTCGGGGCGGGCCCCGGCGCTTCGAGGGCGGTCTCCGACGTGACCCGCGCCTCCCCCCCGAACCGGAGTGACCGGCAAGGAGTTGGGGAGGCGGAGAACGCGCGGGAGAAGTGACAAGACGACGCGGTGGGAGGCCCCGGGCTGAGCGCAGGCGCCGGCTGGACCCTGAAACCCAGGAGCGGCCCGCTTGGGTCCCGGGACCACGGTCCCCCCGGCGCGGCGTGGCGTGGCGCGACGTTCGGGGCCCCTGATCGCGGCCGCCGCGGGGCTGCGGCGCACGTGGGTGGCCAAGCCGGCTCCAGCCCGCACCGTGCAGTCAGCGCCCCGACCGAAGCCGGCGTGCCAAGGCAGCGGCGAGGCCGGGAGGGCGGCGGAGCGGCGGGGCGGGGCAGGGCGGGCGGACGCCGAGCATCCCGCGGCCCCCGCCCGGCTCCGGGTCGGCTCGCGTTCTGGGGGCTCGGCTACTCGGGGAGCCCAGAGGCCCCGCGCCGGGGAGCTCAGCCCAAAGCCGGCGGCCCCGCGGGCCGGGAACGAGGCCTCGGAAGGGCGCCGGGACCCGTCGGGACAATCGGGCGTCGAGGCCCACGCTCGGGGTCCGGCCGCCGTGGGCGCCTCCGCGGCGCGCCCCCGCCGGGTCGCCCGGGGGCTGAGTGGGCGGCGAGAGCCGGACCCGGGCGGCCCCTCGAGGCCCGCGGCCCCCCGCGCGCCCGCCCCTCACCTCCTTTAGGCATCGCGGCTCCGGCGGCTGCGGCGGCGGCGCCTCGAACTGACACAGGAAGCGGAAATGTCTCGGGCTCGACTTCTTCCGCCCGGCCAGGCCCCGCCGCGCGCCGCCGCCGCCGCCGCCGCCGCCGCCGCCTCCGCCGCCGTTGCCGCGAGGACCGGGGGTCCTCCGGAGGGCCGGCGCGCCATGCCGACTGCCCCGCGGACCGCCTGCGCCCAAGCCGGCCCCCGCGCGGTCGGGCGACAGCGGCCCTGGCCTCCCCGCCGCGGAGGACGCGTGAGGTCCCCCGCCAGCCCCTCCTGGCCCCGGGAAGCGAGCGGGGAAAGGCCGGACCGGCTCCGCCATTCCGCGCAGGCAGAGCCGTGGACACCTAAGATGACGCAATCCCCGCGCGGGCGGGGCGGAGCGGGGTCCTGAGGCCCAGGCGCCGGCCTGGGAAGCGGAAGTGGGCGGGACAGAGGCGGCGGCCGCCATCGGTGAAGGACGCTGTCGTCCGCGGAGCTCTCGGTGAGTGTTTTGCTGTTTGTTTACCTCAGTCGCGGGTCGCGGCGAGACAGCGAAGGGTCGGGACCGCGTCGGGGCTCCGGTTCCTCCGCCGAGGGGACGCGCTCCTCGACCTCGCCTGTTCCCAGGCCACTCTTCCTACGCGTCTCGCATTTTCCCACCGTTTTCTGCGCGGACACTGTCACTTCGGCCCGGTGCCGCCCAGCCGCGGCCCTTCCCGCACGCCCCTGTGCCGAGCGTGCCTGCAGCACCCGTTCCTGCCTCTTCCTGGCCTGTTTGGGGCCCGCCCGGCGGCCCCCCCTCCGCGGCTTCCTCTCTGTCCCTCGGGCGGCGACGGGGCTTGCGACCTCCCCGGGGTCCCGGCGAAGTGGTCGGTCTTGTGCTGGCCCCGCCCGGTTCCGTCCACACGCAGCTCCGGGAGACAGATGAAGGGACTGCGGGGAGGGCGCTTGTTCTGCGCGCCGACGACGCGGGCTCGGTCCTCGGCATCCCGTACGATTCCCCGAGCACCGCCCGCGTAATTCCTGAGCCGGGTGTGATCTCCCCCCCAAAATAAATAAACAAATGAAAGGATTTGGGGGTCAGAGGCCCCGGTCAGCGACCTGACTCCTCCGGGGAGGATGTCGCGAGAGCCCTCGGATGGCGCCGCGCGGGCTTTTGGAAACGAGCGCTGTCCGGGACGGGGGACTGAATTTAGGAAAGGGAGTCGGCTCGGCTTGGAAGAGGCTACCCACCCTAGTTCGCGCTGCCAACGTCGAATCAGATTTGATGATTTGAGAAACACTTGTCCCTTTCCATGCGCTCTATTCGCCGGCTTTGCCCAACCCCGTTCCCCCTGAAGGGGTTTAAAACCCTGCCCCTAGCTGGCCATTGTCATCATCGAACTCAGCTGCTGCTCATTTTACAGAAGGCCGGAGGACTAGAAAGGAAATCGATAAAGCAAGAGAAGAACGGAACCCTGTAACTGAGGATACCCGGGAGCTTTCTGCTGAGCTCCTAGACCCAGATCCTAAGGTACTCAGGGTGTCCTGTCGTCTGTTTATCTCCCTTCCCAACACCCACCAGGCCTTTCTCCAGTGTTAACTGCCCTTAGTTACCTTTTGCATTCCCTTCATTGGAGGGAGGGTATGTATTTTGTATTATGAGTCTGCTGTGACCAGATTCACAGTCTTTGTTGAAGACTCAGGAAAGTATTACTTGACCATAAATGCTACATTTGAGGGTAGAAGTGATACTACAGCAGGGAGGGCGCTTGTCTTATTCTGCTGGATTGACCCAAGTTCCATCCTCAACATCCCATGTGGTCCCCTGAGCACCACCTGGAGTGATTCCTGAGCATTGTCAGGTATGTCCCCAAACCAAAAATAAAAATTAAAGGCTTCATTTGGATTAAATCCTTAGTGCCCCAGTAAGTTCTGCCATCGATTTATTAATGAAAAAAGAGGTTTAGGGAGGTGAATGTGCCCCCAATGAAGTCCTTTGAGATTCTGAGGTTCACATGCTAAAGCTTTTCATTTTTCTCCTAGGTCTAAAAGTGGTTCTGTAGGGGGAAAAAATGCCTAAAGTCAAAAGAAGCCGAAAAGCTCCCCCAGATGGCTGGGAGCTGATTGAACCAACTTTGGATGAATTAGATCAAAAGATGAGAGAAGGTGAGTGGATGGGTCTGGCTCTTAGACACCTGGAGGCCAAGCGGAGACAAGTGGGTCTTCTCACACTGACAATTTGTTTATTAGCTCCTGGGGGTGCTGTGACTCAAGAGGTTCTCCAGAATGCTTTTGAGACAGGTTTTAATATGAAAGATTTAGGGAGTTGGGGTGGAGCAATAATAGAACAGCATCCCATATGGTCCCCCGAGCACCACTAGGAGTAATTCCTGAGTACAGAGTCAGGAGTAACCCTTGTGCATCGCTGGGTGTGACTCACAAAGCAAAAAGCCAAAAAAAAAAAAAAAAGAAAAAACTAGGGAGTAGAGAACAGCTTACTGATTAGTTATGTTTGGTTACACGATTAGTTACATTTCGTTAGGTGCATATTTGAAAGCATAAAAATTATCTGGAAGATGCTGTTTTTTTCATTTTTGTTTGCTTTTTGGGTCATACCCAGCGATGGTCAGGGGTTACTCCTGGCTCTGCACTCAGGAATCACTCCTGGCATTGCTCGGGGAACCATCTAGGATGCCAGGGATCGAACTTGAGTTGGCCGTGTGCAGGGCAAATGCCCTCCCCGCTGTACTATTGCTCTAGCTCCTGTTCTTTTCATTTTTGGCATTTTCTGAAAATTGGGGGTGTGGCTTGTTTTAACACCTGGACGTGTTCAGGGGCTACTCCAAGTCTAGTGCTTGGGTTCACTCCTGTGCAGTGTGTGCTCCAGCTAACCGGGCACTCTCAGCCAGCTCCAAGCCAGCTGTGACATGGGCTAGCGGTAGAACATTTGCAGGGACATGGCCCAATTTCCGGCATCACATGTCCCAGGAACACTGCCAGGTGTGGTCTGAAAACAGAAGGGAGGGAAAAATCCTCCAGAAGAGTTCCTCTCCCCCCCCTCCTTTTTTTTTTTTTTTTATGGGTGCCAAGGATCAAGTTTGGGTGTCAAGCAAGTACGGAACTGCTGAGCTGTGGCCTCTTTGCCTGTTTTCTTGTTTAACCGTGAAGCATTCTGCATGTCTTTGCTTTTTCTATTTCTTGGGCCACACCCAGCAGTGCTTAGTCTAGTACTGGCTCTGTGCTCAGGAATCCCTCCTGGTGGGGCTTGGCTCTGGGGACCAGACCGGGATCAAACCTGAGTAGGCCATGTGCAAGACACGCAGCCTCCCTGCTGGACTAGTTCCCCAGCCCTGTGTGTTCCCTGTGAGAAGTGCTACTGGAAGATGCAGTGTCACGTTGCTCCTCTGTGATGGCGGATGGCCCTAGAGTTGGCTTTAGTGTTGGGAATAACTGAGCCCTGGAATACAGGACGCACTGCAGCAGATAGAAGTTGTCGCTGTCACCATGTGGCATGTAGGATTTGCCTGTCTGGGTACTTTGTGTTTTGTTACTTTCCTTTTCCAGGGGAAAGCAAAACCTAGCTATTTGGTGTCATTGTCTAATTGACAACCAGCATTAAGGGTATTTGGGGGGTTTGTTGGTTTCTTTTCTTTTTTTTTTAATCTTTTGGGCGGGCTGGAGCAATAGGACAGCGGTAGGGCGTTTGCCTTGCACGCAGCCAACATGGCCGACCCGAGTTCGATTCCTCCGCCCCTCTCGGAGAACCTAGCAAGCTACCCGTGATGTATTCGATATGCCAAACACAGTAACAACAAAGTCTCCAATGGAGACATTACTGGGCCCACTCGAGCAAGTCGATGATCAACGGGAGGACAGTGATACAGTGATCTTTTGGGCCATACCTGGCTGTGCTCAGGGCTTACTCCAGGCATGTTCCAAGAACCGTATGTAGTGGTGGAACCCACATCAGCTGCAGGCAAGGCAATCCCCTTAACCCCTGACTACCTCTCTGGCCCAAGGAGAACGGATTCCTTAGTTTTTAATGACTCTTAGTCTTGTGCAGACACTTAGTCCTGTTCAAACACTTTTGGGGCTGGGGAACGGACTCAAGTGCAGGTGCACATGGCTTATATGTGGGAGAACTCTGAGCCACAGTTAGACTTGGCCTCAAAACAGAACATTCTTCCTCTCAGCCGAAACAGAACCTCATGAGGGAAAGAGGAAGGTGGAATCCCTCTGGCCTATCTTCAGGATCCACCACCAGAAAACCCGCTATATTTTTGACCTCTTCTACAAGCGGAAAGCCATAAGCAGAGGTAAGGATCCTAAAGTCCCTCCTGGCCATTCCAGCCTGCAGGTGTGTTTAAGCAGTTGTCAGTCTTGGAACCTTTGTATGCCTCATGGAGGGCTTAGGGGTTACCTCAGGACAAAAACAAGGGGCGGTAAGCTGGTGAAAGGATCTTTTAATTGTGGATTGCCAGAGACTGGGCTGGGGGAAACTTGGCATTGCGACCTGATGCCCTCTCCCACCCGGGCAGAGCTGTATGAATACTGCATTGCGGAGGGCTACGCAGACAAGAACCTCATCGCCAAGTGGAAGAAGCAGGGCTATGAGAGCTTGTGCTGCCTGCGCTGCATCCAGACCCGTGACACCAATTTTGGGACCAACTGCATCTGCCGAGTCCCCAAAAGCAAGCTGGAAGTGGTGAGTCTTTGCTCCTGTTCCATCAGGTTTGGTGGCACTGCTGCTGTTCAGTGCCAGGGCTTGGGCGGGTGTCCTGCTGCCAAACCACCTGGCAGGGGTGTCCATTCGGGGTCAGTCTCCAGAGGTGAACTGTTGAACCCAGTGGGGTGCTAAGCCTCATCCCCGCGGTTAGGAGGGTGAAGTCAGAAAAAAGGGGGAGTTACCTGGCTGGTAGGGTGCTGTCCCTCCAGCCACCCTTTTCCTCAGAACTCTCCGGTCCCAGACTAGGTGGAGCAGCTTGGGGTGGCCTAGTAGTGGAGGTCAGGGCAACAGCTCTCAAGTGGAGCTGCAGAAGGGGCGGGAAGAAGTTCCCAGGGTGGCCGTGCGTGCCCACCACTCCCCCACCTTCACACAGGGCTTCACCCTCTGGTGCCCGTTCCTCTGTGAGGCTCTGGGCCAGGGCTGGCACTGAATCTTGGGAGCTCTAGGACAGGCCCGCAGAGCAGCAGACATGGAGCCAGGGCTCCAAAAAGGAGCCCGCAGAGCAGCAGACATGGAGCCAGGGCTCCAAAAAGTCCCCTGGGAGGATCGGGGTAGGGAACTGAAGGGCGGAAGCCCCTGGGGAAATCTGGTATATTCTGCTCTGGGTTGGTCTCTACAAGGGGGCTGCACCTATACCTACGGGACAAGTGCTACTGTAGCCAGTCAGGCGCTTGCCCCTCTTCCCAGCAGAGCCCCCAGCAGGATCCCAGAGTGGAGTGACAAGACTCTGCTGGGTCTGAGGTGTGGATGGGCCTGAGGCAGGGTGTTCAGCCAACTGTGTTGTCCACGCAGGGACGGATCATCGAGTGCACGCACTGCGGCTGCCGAGGCTGCTCGGGCTGAGCCCCTACCTCCCCAAACTTCGGATCTGGCTTGCTATTTCCCCGCCACCCCCAGCACTTCATACTGCAGGGCCCCGCCAAACTTGGGGAGGCATTGGCAGTTCTGTGTCACCTGTAGAAATAAACCCTGAGACCTTTTGGGCGTGTCCATTCTTTCTTGGGCCAGCAAGGCGGGACAGTGGGAGGCCTTGAACCTGGCAATTCTGCTTACCACAAAGGGGCCAGCTTCTGGGCAAGGACGGCCTGGGATGACGTGCCAGATGGCTGGTGGTTCCCACGTGTCCAAGTAAGTGCCATGCCCCAAACTGGGTCCAGCCCCGTGTCTTTCGTGTGAAAAGGGCCCCAGGGCCCCTCACCTGCCCCCACAGCCTGTGTTCACATCAGCCTCAGTGGGGGCATCTTGGGCCTCCCTGGTCTTGCTCCGGAACTTCTGCCAGGGGTGGGGGGTCTCCTCGGCCGGCATCGCTTTCAGCCACTGCTTATAGTAAGCTCGGAAGCCATCAATCTTCTCCAGGTAGGTGTTTTTCCCCTTGTACTGTAATTGGGAAATCAAGGTCAGGGCTTGAATGGCCACCACAGCAGCTGCCGCAAGCCACGGGAGCCAGTTTTCTCTCCGAGGTGATTGCAGAGAGAAGAGCTGGCACCTGCGTGGTTTCTGGCTGTGCCCTTCTGCTAGCACAGGCTCCAGCTCCTTTCGGGGGAGGCTCTGGGCCACAGTAAAAGGGCTGCAAAAGGAGGGAGCCTGTCGCCAAGCCAACAGGACTAGGCGCTATTTCTGGGACCAGCGCAGGCGCAGACTCTGGGCAAACACTACAAAGACCAGGGCGGGCAGAAGGCTGATGGGCAGCCTCAATGGTTGGCAGTAGGCTAGGCAGCCACCGGCAGTGGCCTGAGAAAGTGAGGCAGCTGGGAGGCTCCCAGGCTTGTCATATCACTGGATGCCACCCCCCACCCACAGGCCAGGAGATGGAGCGGGTGGGCCCCCGGGTGCCCGTACCCGGTCGAAGGTGGGTGGGTACTGGGCAGCAAACTCGAGCTGGCGGATGACCACCTCGTTCACTGGGACCCGGCTGTGCCTCATGTCCTTGAGGATGTCGATGAGGTAGGCATAGTCCAGCTTCTTGACAGCCGCATTGATGAGGGCGCTGTAGACATGGGTGTTGGGTCTCAGCTGGGACTTCTGTGCCATGGACAAGAGGAGAGTGATGTTTAGGCTGCAGCAGCAACCCTGTGCCCTGCACCAGAAGGAAAGCAACCACACCCCAACCTGAGTTTCTTCCACCAGGCTGAGCCTTAAGAAAGTAAAAGGATTTGGTGATAAACAGGGGAACATGAGTGTGGGCTGTGGGAGTCCGGCATCCTTGCCCCAGCATCCTGATAATCTCTCTGGGGGCCCATTCCCTGGCCCCACCCCTGCTGCCAGCATAGCCCCATGATCTCAGCCCTGTGCCCACATCAGCTGCCCCATCTGCAGAGACAGGGTTGGACACCACCCAGGCCCAGCCCACTTGCCTTCATGTCCGCAAGCAGTTGCAGCCCATCTGCTGGCCGGTGGCACCCAGTGGCCAGGTTGCAGAATGTTCGCAGGTCGGGGACAAGGCCCCTCTTGGCCAAGGCTGGCAGTAGCGCCTGTGTGGATAGACACAGCATCACGTGAGCTGTGACATAAGCCGGCAAGAGCCTTCCCTAGGCAAACCTGGTAGATGAAGGTCCAGCCTAACTCCACACTCTGGGTTCCAGCCGACATCTTAGGGTGCTGCTCCCCCATAATTCAGCAGCTCTACAAGCACACTCCACCTGTGCCTGACCTGTCCCTTCTTCAGGAGCTGCCCTTGAGGGTACAGACCCAGGGAGCCCAGGGCCCGCCTCACCTTGGCCCCTTCCAGGTCGCCCAACCTGCTCCTCCTCCTTATCAGTGTGTTGAAGAAGGTGAGATCGGCCTCCAGCGCACGTGTGTCCAGCATGGTCAGCAGCGAGGCCTCTGCGGGGCTCCCGGGTGCCACCACCTCAGCCAGCAGTGTGAGGGTCTTGATGTCGGGCTGCAGCCCATGCTCCTCCATGTGGCCTAGGAACCCCTCCAGGCCCCCCATCAAGGCCAGCCTGTCCTCCCGGGTGGTCACTGTGCCGAAGGAGACCACAGCGGGGGGCATGGCCTGGAGACGCAGGAGGTTGGTCTCCAGCCCCAGGGGTGCTGGCTCCAGGGCCCCAGAGCACTGGGGCACCGTCTGGGCTCCCACAGTGGGCCTGGACTCATTGGGGGCTCTAATTGCAGGGAGTTCCAGAGCTGCCCCAAGCACCTGAGAAGGTTCCAGAAACAGCTGCTTCTCCAGAGCCTCCACGTGCACTGTGGTGACCAGGCCTTCAGCGGCCCTGGCTGGGGCTCTCCTTGCCCCACGAGGCCCTGCTGGGAGCTGGGGCAAACCCATATCCTGCTGGGGCCTCAGCAGCAGCGCCGCCGCAACCGTGCAGTCCCCTAGGCCGCAGTCCCGAGCTGCCGCAAGCAGCAGGTTGTAGCTGTACCGACTTGGTTTGAACCCCAGACTCAGCATCTGCCTCCACACCTGCAGGGAGAGATGAGGGTCCATCCTGCACCCCATCTCCAGAATGACCGTGGAGAGCAGACACTGGGAGTGGGGAGGTAGAGGACCAGAAGTCTGAGGCTCCACAGAGCTGGGTCTCGACTTCCCTTCGGCTCAGTGTACCTCAGTGTTCTCTACAGCAGCCTTCCTGACTTGTGCACTATGGACGGCCCCTTGGCTTATCCTGGAAATGCTCTAACTCAGTCTGAGCCCCTGGTTCCCCTCTGCCCTCTCCCAGGGCTCCTGTCAGCCCAGGACTCAGGGCCTGCCTGCTTCTCCCGACCTCGGGAGGGACAGCCTGAGAATTTTAGGTTATTCCGGAATCTAGGCCAACTCAAGGAAAGGTGCAGCTGTGCATCCTGAGCACCCGCTATGCACCCCGGCCCAGGCAGCTACCTCATGTCCCTCAGAGCGAGAGACAGGGTAGCCGGGTGCAGCAACCTCAGTGCTAAGGCCTCACACATGATCATGGCCACATGTGGGGTGTGCTCTGCGGTCAGCAGCTCTGATGGTAATTGGGTACTGGCCACAGACTCTGGGCCCATCACTCTCCAGGGCCCCAGGCCCCACCTGCAGAGGCACTGCATGAGCCCTGGGAGGGACAGGTGCCCAGTAGGCCCGGGAGGCTGCTTGGAAGGACATGGATGAAAACGAGTTGGGGCGGGGGGGGCGGTCTGCAACACTGCTCCATGGCAGCAGATGCGGAAATACAGAAGTAACTGCCACAGGACAGGAGCAGGTGCGCAGAATGTCCTGGGACAGACTGACCTGCAGGGCTCTGCGGAAGCCTGTCTCCTTGTCCTGTATGCAGCCCATAAGCAGGAAGCAGAACGTCTCCTCCGTGACCGCATAGCCCTTGTGGATGATCTCCTGGAACAGGAACAGAGGCCCCCCCTAGGGTAAGCTACAGAACAGGGCACACAGGCTGATGGCCAGGAGCCCCCGCTTCTGCCTAGGGGCCACCTCATCTCCACAGCCCCTCTGCAGAGACCTCCCCAGCTGGTGAGAGGTGCGGCCCCCAGGTCTCCGCTGATCCACAGTACGGCTGGAGGTGTTTCCTCCTTTGTATGGGACTTGCCAAACTCGGTTCTGGAACAATCCCATGAGACAAGTGCCCACGGCACTCATCACTGGCTTCCCTGACGTATGTGTGTCAGATGGCATGACTGTCCTGAAACGCCATTCTCCCTTTCAACCCTGCATTGTTGCATGTGGTCCCAATGTTCTCTTGGTCAGGCTGTGCTCTCTCCCCATGGACAGTCACAGCTGTCTCAGGACTGCTCCACGGCCACCTGCATACAATATCACTGGGACATCTCTAGGCAGGCCAGGCCAGGGGTTGATCACCCCCATGTCCTATTCAAGATGCTTCGGATGCCACCCCTTAAGGGACCGTGTTGGCAAGGAGACCTCCAAGGCTGAGAGCCGTGATCCTGCCTCCTCAGCAGGCCTGCTCACTCCCAGGCAGGACTGGCCAGAGGCTGCCACTTCCCATAAGCCCTGGTCCCGGGTTTCCCCAGAGTCTGTCTTGCTGCCCTAAAACTAGAGAACGTAGAACAGCGCCCAGCCTGGGGGCCTGCTCACAAAAGGTCCCTGCCTCTGTGGATCTGGAAAGGCTGTTCCTGCAGGCGGCCGGGGTGGGGTACCCTAAGTTAGCCCAAGGGCCTGTCCCGCTGTTCCCTGTTCCCCAGTATTTCCCTGGAACTTGCTAGCTGGGCCCCCACTCTGGGGCTTTGTAGAAGTGGCCATCCGGTGAGAGCGGCTTGAAACATTAGTTCTGCAGCCATGTCCTGGACCTTGCCCTGAGCCCACAGGGTCACCTGGGCCAGCCCTTGGGTCACTTCCCGAGCATCCGGCCCGGGGTATGGGGGCAGGCGGGACAGTTGCCCCCACCTTGAACACCTCGAGACACAGCCGCAGGTCCGCGCACAGGGCGGCCACCTTCAGCAGTGCGTGGTAGGTCTTCAGGTTGAGCTGGAAGTTGCGGGCACGAAGCTGCTGCCGGAGCTTCAGGGCACTCTGGAGAGCCGAGTCCTTCCAGGGCGACTCGGCGCAGACATTGAACAGGGCTGTGTATGTGGCGTCTGATGGCTCCAGGTCGCGCTTCTTCATCTGTGGGGTCAGGAGCAGCTCGGTTGGACACGCAATGGCTGGTGGCTGAGAGGCGCCGAGCCAGGCAGGTCTGGGAATGGGTGTGGAGGAGGCGGGGTCTCTGGCAGGGCAGAGCATGGATCCCCAAACTCTACCCAGATCCCCGGCTACAAAGAGGCATCAGCAGCCCGAGGCTGAGCCCAGGGCGGGCGCAGACAGCCAAGGAGTCCTGGGGTAAGGCTGCATGGGGCCAGTGACCCCCCAGCTCCAATGCAAGTGAGCACCTCTGAAAATGAGGACAATCAACAGCCTTTTGCAGGTAAGTGCTGGAAGAGTGGGCACTCCCTGGGTCCCAGAGAAAGGCCACTCTGTCCCCAGATCAAGTGACAAGCAGCTGATACAGGCCATATGGGCCATGGCTGAGGAGCAGACACCAAAGGACCCCCCATTCCGGCTGGAGTATGGCTCCTTTTAGTGAGGGGGTTTGGGCCATACCTAGCAATGCTCAGGAATCACTCCTGGTTCTGTACTCAGAAGATACTCCTGGCGGTGCTGAATGGACCACATGTGAGCCCAGTCAGCCATGTGCAAGGCAAGATCAAACCTCATCAGCCATGTGCAAGGCAAATGCCCTCCCCACTGTACTATTGCTCCTCCTGTACAGCTCCTTTAAAAAGTTTACTGGGAGCGGGACCATAGAGACAGTACAGTGGGGAGGGCACATGCCCTGCACACAGCCAAGCCAAGTTCCATCCCCAACATCCCACCAGGCCCTGAGTGTAGAGCCTGGAGTAAGCCCTGAGCACCTCTGGGTATGGCCCTAAAGCCAGAAATAAAATAGTAACAATAAGCTTACTTGGAAAAAATTATTAAAGCAGTAAAGTGATAGAGGAAAAAATTAGGTCCTCGAGAAATCTGAAGGCCAGGGATATAGCTCAGGGGTGACACACTAGCTGGGCACATATGAGGTCCTGGGCTCCATGCCTGGCACCATACGGTCTCCCCAAGTACCAAGCTACCAAGCTAGGTCAAGGAATGGTCAGGGCCTCACCTCCCAAACCTGGTCACCACCTGTTCCAGATGATGACCCTGAGGGCACAGAGGCCTGGCATCCGCCAGTGTAATACATTAACCAAGCAATATATTCAGGACCCATTTGGCTGTTTTGGGAGGCTAGATGGCACATGGCAAGGTTGGGTTGCTACTGGCAATGCTCAAGGGGGTCCTATGTGGTGGCCAGGACTCGCCGGCCTGCACTCACATCGTTGTAGAGCCGGAAGGCCTTCCTTAGGTAGCCGGCCCGTCCGCAGCCACCGATCAGCACCGTGTAGTTGCACTCGAGGGGCTGGAGTCGCTCTTCCTTCAGCATCTGCCCCTCAAACAGGTCCAGGGCCTCAGCCAGCTGGGAAGGAGACAGGGAGAAGGACTGAGGCCCAGGGAGGAAGACTGAGGCTGTCGGACCCTCCCCAAGCCCACCCAAGCCAAACGCCCACCTTGGGCTTCTGTTACCAACCTCTCAGTCCCTGTGCTCTATAGCAAAGAAGCTTCCAGAAGTTCTGCCCACTCCCACCCCTGCAGATGTGCTTGGCCCACCGGGGTCAGGGCCCAGAGCCAGCAGTCAGATCACAGGAGGCCCAGGGCCAGAGTTACTCCAGAGGATCCCAGGCCTTAACTGCCCTCCTCAGAGACACCCCACCCCCCGATCCTAGCGTGTCAGGATGGCAACTCCGGGCACCAGGGCCATCATCATCCCATCCCTGCCCTCATCCCACACCCCTTTTACTCCCTGGGTAGCGTCAACTGGTGGTGTCACCGCTGAAATCAAAGGCCACTCATTATCCGAGGGCATCTGCCAGGGGGAAGGTCAGACGCCAAAGCAGACCACCCAGCAGTGTACACAGCGAGTGTGCTCAAGGGTGGCTTGGGCTGGGAACACAGAGGATGGCGTGGGGGGAAGCGATGGGACCTACAAATCCTGGAAGGAGCCAGTGCAAAGGCCTCAGGTACAAAGGGGCCTGGGCACTGCAGGAGCAGATGAAAGGGTAGCTATGGTAGGGTCAGCAAGGAGAGGGAGCAGAGGTCAGGAGGCAAATGGGAGTGAGGCGAGGCAAGTGAGGTTCTCCAGAGCTTTAGATGCCACTCGTGGACTTTGGCTTTCATTTTCTTAACTTTTCATACTGCACATTTTCAGACATCACAAACAACAAAGGCTGTTTCACCAGTTTTACTAAAGCCATTCTTGACATTCCCGTTTCAAATGAAGTGGTGTTGGGTCGGAGAGAGTACAGAGGAGAGGGCTCTTGCCTTGTACACAGCAGACCTGGGTTTGATCTCCAGCATCCCACATGCTCCCCAAGGCAGAGCCAGGAGTAACTGCCAATGCTGAGGTGAAAGCAAGGCTTAGACTGGCCCATCCCTACATGAAGTCCATGAATCCCAGGGGGTGCGGTGCCGTCAGCAGGGCAACCTATACCCATAGGGTGAATGCATCAGCAGACTGACAGTGTCTTCTGGCTTCCCAATACCCCAAAACAGTCTGCTGTACCTCTGGTCAGATCCCAACAACTTGGGACCGAGTTTGGGTTTTTTTGGTTATTTTTTAAAATTTTTATTAGTGAAACACCATGAGGTAGTTGTAGACTTACAAATTTTTGTACTTGGGTTTCAGTTATACAATGATCGAGTACCCATCCCTCCCCCAGTGCTCATTCTCCACCACCACTGATCCTAGTATCCACCCCCCCAGCCCCGCGCCTCTATGGCAGGGGATTCCCTTTTTCTCTCTTCTTTTGGGTGCTGTGGTTTGCAAAAGAGGCATTGAGTGGCAATCATGTTCAGTCTATAGTCTACTTTCAGCATGCATCTCCCATCCTGGGAGGATCCTCCCAACACCCTTTATTTGGTGCTCCCTTCTCTATCTGAGCTGCCTTTTCCCCTAGCATGTGCAGCTGGCCTCCAAGCCATGGAGTAAACCTCCTGGTACTTATCTCAGCTATTCTTGGGTGTTAAGTCTCCTATTTTGTTACTTTATGCTCCCCAGATGAATGCAATTTGGACCAAGTTTTCCTGAGAAATTAAACAGCCAGAAGTTAGGTATGTGGGAGTCACACCCACAAACCACCTCTGACTCAGCTATACAAGCTTATTTACTGGCTTTGTTTCGGAGACCCATAAATAAATCTCAAGAGATCAAAAGCCAGAGTTAATCTTGGACCCACGCAAGGCTGAACAGACAGGGGTAAATCGTAGGGGGCAGGTCAGCCTGGTGCCCACCCAAGCAGAACCCTGGCAGACTGTGCTGCTTGCTCCCACAATCCAAAATCGCCGCCATGCCCCTGGCTGGACTCTACCGTCTCAGGACAGACTTCACCAAGATATACTGTAATACTGTCCTCCCGTTGTTCATCAATTTGCTCGAGCGGGCCCAGTAACGTCTCCATTGGAGACTTTGTTGTTACTGCGTTTGGCATATTGAATACATCACGGGTAGCTTGCCAGGCTCTGCCGTGTGGGTGAGATACTCTCGGTAACTTGCCGGGCTCTCCGAGAGGGGCGAAGGAATCGAACTCGGGTCGGCCATGTTGGCTGCGTGCGAGGCAAACGCCCTACCGCTGTGCTATCGCTCCACCGAGATATAATCTGCTGAAAATTCGGTACATAGGTTTTGTCACTAAAATCTTTTAGGCTTTCTTGGAGTCGGGATGGGCTATCTCCCCCTACTTCCCTATACTCCTGAAAGCTCTGGTAGTCATGTCCACACCCCAGAGCGGTCACCAGTTAAAAAAGCTACTCCAGACTTACCTTCCCAATAAAAATACTGAATACCCTGAACAAACACAATGGCCTCTTAGTACCTGTGTTGCAAACCCATAATGCACAAAAGGAAAGAGAGAAAGAAGAAAAGTGCTTGCCCGTAGAGGCAGGCTGGGTGGAGAGGGGTACTGGGGGATGGTGGGAGGAAAATGGAAGACATTGATGGTGGGAAATGTACACTGGTGGAGGGATGGGTGCTGGATCATTGTATGACTGAAACCCAATAATGAACAGCTTTGTAATGGTCTTTCTCACAGATATTCAATTAGCAATTAAAAAAAATCCATGAATCCATCCTAAGTCTTCACCGGTGAGCCGACCCAGGCCATGTCACTGAAAGCCCTGGGAATCCTGACTCAAGGGGAACACAGCTGCTTTCACCCTAGGAGCAAAGGCTGGAGCAAGAGGTAGTAAGAAGGACCCGGGTGTGGTCCGGTGGCAGAGCAAGTGCCTGACACCTGTGAAGCCCTGAGTTGATCTCTGATGCCACAGAGGGATTAAGAGCATTCTTAAGAGAGATGGCCAGAGAGGAAGAACAAACACAGGGAGAGCTGAGGAGAAAGATGCTGGCCCGGGAGCATAGGAACAAAGATGTGAGAAGCATCAAGACTGATGATATTTGGAGCAGGAGTGACAGCACAGAGAACACGGAGCTTGCCTTTCACACAATCGTCCCGGGTCCAATCCTTGGCATCCCATAGGGTCCCCTGAGCATCATCAGGAGTGATTCCTGAGTGCAGAAACTGGAGTAAGCCTTGAGCATCATTCTGATGCTGGAGTTGGTAAGAGAAGAAGCCAAGGTGACATGGAGGATTGGGCCTGGCAGGAAGGAGCCATGGGCCTGTGATTTAGTGAAGTGAAGGAGAGGAGACAAAAGAAGGCTGGGGACAAAACTTATGACAGGCTAGCACAGAAGCACTTAAGGAGATGGTGAGGCTGGAGCTGGGGAGTCCGCGGCAAAACCAGACTAGAGTGGCCGTGAGGAGGCTGTGAAGCCAGGAGGCTTCACTCACCCAGTGAGTGACAAAGACTGAGTCTAGAATGGGCGGACTGCAGGACCAGGGAAGCAGGGAGCCCCAAGCTCCTCACCTTCCCCTCCTTGATCAGCTGCTTGCACTGGAAGAAGTACCAATGAGGGGTGTTCCGCGGGCCCCGCCACGCTCGAGGCTCGTTTTCCTCCTCATCTTCAGCACCCTGTTCTCGGAGCCGCAAGTTATAGAAGTGGGCTGAGGATTTGTGGAACAATTTTCGGGAGGAGTATCTGTCAGAGAGGGTCCCGAAGCTCTCCTCCTCCTCCTCCTTCTCTGCCTCCTCCATCATGGTGGTGCTGGGCTGCCCCGGGTCTGTATTCCTCTTGTTCTCCGGGGCCACAGGCAGCTGAGAGAGGGTGCTGCTGCAGGCAGTGGGCACTGGCTGGCGCAGCCCTGCAGGCCCTTCCCCTCCCCTCCATCGTGCTCTGATGGGGTGGAGCTGCCACACAGCCAGCAGTTCTTTGGTGCGGGGGGCAGAGAAGAGGCGGGCAAGTCTCACAAGGTCCATCTCTGGCGTCCACCTCTAGGGGCCTGGATGAGGTTGGGGAAACAATGTGGTCATCTCAGGATGGAAACAATCAGCTGAAAGACAGAAGAGTCATACAGAACACACAAGGTGAGACAGCCTGGAACACGATTTCAGCTCTACCAAACAGCTACAGACTGGTGTGTATGCTCTCGGTGCTTAGGGCTCTTGCCTGTAAGCCCCAGGCAGAAAAATAGAGCGAGGACAGAAACAGGACAGGAGGCCCTGGGTATATGGAGGGCGGCACAAGGCCATGACAATGATACTCAACAGACATGTGCTCTTTGTTTAGGTTCCGGGGTCTTACCTGGCAGGGCTCAGGGCTTACTCCTGGCTCTGCACTCAGGGATCACTCTTGGCAGGTCTCTGGAGACCACATGGGGTGCCAAGGATTGAACTGGGTCAGCTAAGTGCAAGGCAAGCACCCTGCCGCTGTCCTAACTATTCGGTGCCAGGAATTCTTTTAAGGTCTGGTTACATGAGAAGGTCAGGTAGGAGTGCACGTGGATGATGGCTGATCAAAAAGATTAGTAACTGTGGCCCAGGAATATAATGCCAGCTCTGACACGGCATGCAATGTGTCAGCTTCTCGAGACTGGGGCACGGGGTCTTCATCGTTCCACATCTGGTGGAACTCTGGTTCAACTCCAACAGAAAACAATCCTGATGGGCCCGAGAAATAGGAGAGAGGTGACCACAAATGCTGAGGGGGGTCGGGATTTGATTTCCAGGCAGCTCGTGAGCACCACCAGGAAAAATCTGTCACCAGTTCATATACGCTAATAACCGCGCCAGGTAAGAAAGCCCATCCCGATGCCAAATATGCATTAATGAACGCGCCAGATAATAAAACCATCTGGTGACAAGCATGCATTAAGGAGTGTGCTGGAGGGCCGTCTCTGCGCCATCAGCACCCGAGGCGCTCAACTGCAAGACCCATTATCTCTCCCTTATCCACGCTGCGAGTAACAAACGGAGTTTGCCTTTAGTTGCTAAGGCTCCTCGGAGGGGCCACAAAGGCTTGGCTTCAAAAGCAAGGAGAGAAGAAACGGGACTTCTGTCACTGACCCACTCGCCCGCCCGGATAATAAACCCTAGACGTTCCCGGGGACCCTCAGGCCGCCCGTGGCCTTCCGAGCCGCGCTCCCCGGACACGCCCCCCCGACACTCGCGGCCGCTCTGGCCGGTCCTCAGACCCCCGCCGCCCGCCGCGCACCTAGACGCTCGCGCCCGGCAGCCCGTTCTGAGGCGCGCGCGCCCCGAGGCACCGCGCAGGCGCCGGCGCGAGACACTGCGCAGGCGCGAGACACCGCGCAGGCGCAGCGTGCGTCGCAGTCGCCTCACGCGCGAGGCTTCCGCTTCCGCGAGGCCGCGCGGTCGCTCGGCGAGCGGCTACCCGGGCCTGGCGCGGCGAGCCGCCCTCGGCGCTTGACTGGCGCGGCCTAGCGGGGCGCTCCCGGCATCCTTCGGGCAGCGGCGGTGGCGGTGGCGGCGGTGGCGGCGGCGGCGGCGGCGGCGGAGGCGGACGCGGACCGTGCGCGGCGGCGGGTCGCGGTGTGAGGGCGGCGAGGAGCAACGCGGGGACCGGACCGGGCCGGGGTGGCCGCCGCCGCCGCCATGCAGGAAATCATCGCGAGCGTGGACCACATCAAGTTCGACCTGGAGATCGCCGTGGAGCAGCAGCTCGGGGCGCAGCCGCTGCCCTTCCCCGGCATGGACAGTGAGCGCGGGTGCAGGCGGGGGGGGGGGGAGGGCGCGGGCATCTCGGTCCGGGGAGCCCCTCCGCCCTCGGGACCCCCTCCGCTTCCCATCCCCTTTCGCGGACTCTGGACCCCCCGGCCCGCTCGGGGGTGCCCTGGACTTTCTCTCGCTGGAGGCGGAAGCTCCCCCCAGGCGGGGCGCGTGAGCCGTGTTCCTCTGAGGACTCCCACCCCCGGGACCCCCCGGCCGGCTCACTTATCAGCTGCCTGATTTTCCCCTTCCGCGCCCCCCTCGCCTTGAGGCCCCGACCCACCAGGGCCGGCCGAGCGTTCTCTACCCTCCCGGGCCGGGTCCAGCACAGACAGTGTGGGGGAAAGGCCTCCGGCTCGTTCGCCTGGGATTTCCTTCCACCTGTTGCTCCCAGATGCGCGCGTATAAGCATGCCCGGCCCCCCTCCCCCCTCATCCTCCGCGACCCGCCCGCGCACTCCGCGCAGGCCACGAGGCACCGCTTCCAGACCGGGCTCGGATGCTTGCACACGGCATCCTCTGTCCGGGCCTGAGATGCTCTTGTCCCTCGCCCCGTGCACCCACGCCTTTTCCTGTGTCGTGGCACCTAAGAGACGCCCGCGGTTCCAGCCCTGGACCCACAACCCAGGATTGGGTGCTGCGGCCCCGGGGCCTTCAAATGTTTTCCTGGGAGGCTCCAGGGAGCTGGCCTGGAGTTGGGTGCCACCAGCTAAAGCACAGGGAACTGCAACACAACATCCCCATATTTTTTTTCGGAGGAAACCGTCACCTCTGTTCCGCTGGCACATTCTGCCCCGACCTGGAACCTGGTTCCTTCATTCCCTCGCGGAATGAAACCAGCTTCACTCTGGGAGGGACGAGCCTATAGGCAGCCAAGCCTGGGTTCAAGTGCCCACACCCACCTTGGTCCCCTGAACATCTGCGGGTGCAGCCCCCACCGATGGGGCTCAGTAGATGAGAAGGAAACTGATGTCCTCCTTGGTGAAACACTGTTGGATATGAGACTTCAGGCTGTTTGAATCGTGCAGAGACCCCCCCAACTCACTGCTCAACCTTCAGTCAGGCCCGGTGAGATCTACCTGCTCCCGCTGAGCCAAGGAATCGTGTCTTCCAGGGCTTGGTGTCACTGTGCTAAAGTACCTCTGAGTGAGAAAAGCCGTGAGGGAGTTTGTGCTGTAGCCCCATGGTGAATTCTGGTGCACTGGTCACCCTGTCTGCCTGCGGAAAGCCTGTACCCCTTTAATGAGGGGGTTGCAGTTGCACGCTCAGACCATCTTGCTTCCCACTTCCCAGTTCTCCTTCCTTCTGGAACAGTATCTCCTAGGGACTCCATGCCCTGCTCAGCATCCCTGTGCCTGGGAGTCAGCCCTCAGACAGTGTGCGCACTGGCCTGGGTGGTACCGCGTTTGCACTGGTTTCCTTTCCTCTGCTCCATCTTGCCTTTGCTCCAGTCATGCCTGCGTTCAAGGCCAGCTGGGGCCAGCCCACTATCTTCAGGGGTCCCCAAGGCTCTGTTCATCTTTTTTTTGCAGAGTCGGGGGCTGCTGTCTGCGAGTTCTTCTTGAAGGCTGCCTGTGGCAAAGGTGAGCATCCCCAGCCCCCCCAACATTGCTCCTGGGGGCTGGCCCCCCTGCCCTTCCCCTGTGCCCTGAGACTTGGGGGCTGCAGGGCTTGCATTGCTTTTTTGCAGACAGTGCCTATATAAACCATGCGAGAGGGTGTGGAGCAGGACTGGGTCGGGGAGTTTCTCCCCAAAATCAGAGTACAGCCCGATGGTGCCCGGGCTCTACCCTCTTACCTTTCCCCAGGACTGTGAGGGGAGATGTGGCAGTGGGCTCAGCACACAGCCCCTGGGGGCACCTTCCTCGGGGTCCGGTGCAAGTGTGAACCCAGATCTTTCTGATTCCATAGTCTTGGGGTGGGGGGCACGGGCACCTGCATTCTCTTCAGAAGCCCCATAGCAGTTTGTCTCTGGTGTGTCGTTTCTTCCTCCTTGACTGGTCGCTGCTTCATAAAGTGAAGTAGTGTGTGGTTCAGCTGCCTCTCTTCTGGAACCTCCCAAACTCCACCGAGCGGAAGGACTCCACAGCAGAGTTCTTTCTGCTGGGATAAATCTGGCATTTTTCTTCCTACAGGCAAGTCTATTTAGAAGCTAAATTTAAATTTTTTTTGGGGGGGGGTCACACCTGGTGATGCACAGGGCTTACTCTTGGCTCTGCACTCAGGAGTTACTCCTGGCGGCGCTCAGGGGACCATATGGGATGCTGGAAATTGAACCCAGGTTGGCCGCGTGCAAGGCTAACGCCCTACCCGCTGTGCTATCTCTCCAGCCCCTGAAAGCTAAATTTTAGAGCCTGAAATAAGTGCCCAGGATTGCAGCAAGCAAGTTGGCTTTTCTGGGAGATTGGCGGATATTTGGGTTCTGTAACACGGGCACTTGGACCCAGCAGGTAGATCGCCAAGGGCCACCCCCAGTTGTTCCCTGTGGCTATGCCTCCCTCCTGTGTCGGAGCAGCTGTCCTTGTCTTGGGCCCCCTTCCCTGGCCAGATGGACATAACCAACCATGTGTGGTTATTCAGATTGAATGGAGATGATGTAAACTAGAAAATGCAGTTCCTCAGCTACCTTGTTCCCTTATGGTGCTGCTGCCCCGCAGACACCCGCTCCCGTACAGATGGAGGGTCTCCTGGTACCAGGCCGCCTCTTTCCACCCCCAGCCTCCCGTCTAGGCTGCCTCAGACTCTGGCGATGGTGGCTGGGAGACTCCGGGAGATAGCCCTTCCGCATCTCTGTCCAGTCTGGTGTCTTTCCGCCAGAATCACATTGGAGCGTTCTAGCGGCTGGCCTTCTTCACAACCATCCTCCATTTTTTTTAATGGGGCCATACCCAGCAGTGCTTAGGACTTTCCCCCCACTTCTGTACTAGGAGTGACCCTTGGCACTGCTTGGGACCATTTGTAGTGCCAGGGATCAAGCCGTGGTGTGTGGGTTGCAGGGTAACACCTTACCCTTAGGGGTCCTTTCTCTCTAGCCCTCTTTTCTGCCTTGCTATGCTTCTGTGACTTTCATGTACCTGTGTAGCCCTAGAAATAAACACTTTCTAAGTAAATGAAAAACATTTCTCTCTCCTTTCCTGAGCTTAAAAGCCTTCATAGGGGCTGGAGCAATAGCGCAGCGGGTAGGGCGTTTCACTTGCACCGACCCGAGTCGGTGCCGATTCGAGTTCGATTCCCAGCATCCCATATGGTCCCCTGAGCACCGCCAGGAGCAATTCCTGAGTGCATAAGCCAGGAGTAACCCTTGTGCATTGCTGGTTGTGACCCAAAAAGGAAAAAAAATAATAAAATCTAAAAAAAAAAAGCCTCCATAGTACGAGAGTAACTGGAATCGTAATTTGGTGCTTTGACATTCACAGAACATGTTTAAACGTATGTTAGTATTTAAGGGGCTGGAGCTATAGCACAGCGGGTAGGGCATTTGCCTTGCACGCAGCCAACATTCCCGACACAGGTTCGATTACCAGCACCCCATATGGTCCCCTGAGCACTGCCAGGAGCAATTCCTGAGTGCATGAGCCAGGAGTAACCCCTGAGCATCGCCAGGTATGACCCAAAAAGCAAAAAAATAAAAAATAAAAAACAAAACATATGTTAGTATTTAAGTTTGTCCCAGAAATGCCATTGCCTTCGGCCTGAGGCCCCAGGAACTCCCCCAGCCCCGAGCCTCACACCTACCTTCCTTGGCAGGGGGCATGTGCCCATTCCGCCACATCAGCGGCGAGAAGACAGTGGTATGCAAGCACTGGCTGCGGGGACTGTGCAAGAAGGGCGACCAGTGCGAGTTCCTACACGAGTACGACATGACCAAGATGCCCGAGTGCTACTTCTACTCCAAGTTTGGTGAGCGGGGCCACTCCCTATGGGCCTTCATGGCACTGCCTGGCACAGGAGGGTGTGAGGGCACATGGCACCACTTCCTGAGGGGACTCAGCTAGGAGTGACTCCGGGAACTGAGGTCAAGCCTTCTGCAGGTTCTTGGGGACAGCAGTGGTTTTCGGGGCCATCGGATTAAGGGGAGGGGTATCTCAGTCCCGTTTCCTGCCCCCTAAAGCATTGGCACCTGCAGCAGAAGGGGCCATGAGTCCACTCACAAAAGCCCAGTGCTCTCTGGCCTGGGCACTCCCCATTTTCTGGGGCTTGTGGTGCCTCCGACACACTCTTTGCTGCCCCGGGGACACTGCCATAAGATGCTTCGGGCATCTGCGTGCTGGTGCCCAAGTGCCAGGGATGGAAGCCAGAGCAGAAAGCCACAGGCTGGGAGTTTGCCAACTTGTGTGTGACACGGACTGGTGGGGGCCCAGGGGGCGCTTTTGGTATTGGGTGCCATCTCCCCTCAAGCAGACTCTGTTGGTACTCTGTTGCATCTCCTCTTCTGGGACCTGGTCTCAAGCACTGCCCTGTGCCCTTTCCCATCTCAGCCAGAGATCTCCCCTGGTCACTGAGGCACCCCGGTACTCCCTGTGCCCGGCTAGCAGGTCTCTGGGCCTCCAGGTGGTTCTGTCATGTGTGTGGGGAGGGAGACTTGGGCCCTGGGGCTTGCGGGCGCTCCCCTCCTGCCTGGGCGTGGAGCGCAAGGTGGCAGGGTGGGTGCCCATGTGGTGACCCCGGCTGACCACCTGCAGGTGAGTGTAGCAACAAGGAATGCCCCTTCCTGCACATCGACCCTGAGTCCAAGATCAAGGACTGCCCGTGGTACGACCGCGGCTTCTGCAAGCACGGTGAGTGCCCCGCAGTTCTCTGCCCCAGATACCTGCTGGCTGGCAGGTTCCCCGGACCGTGGCTGAGCACCGTGCATGTCATCCCCAGGTCCCCTGTGCAGGCACCGGCACACACGCAGGGTGATCTGTGTCAATTACCTCGTGGGATTCTGCCCGGAAGGGCCCTCGTGCAAGTTCATGCAGTGAGTGTCCCCTCCTGACCGTCCCGTCCCGCTGCCCTCATCCCTTTGCTCACACGCACACAATCAGGCCCCCAAGGAGAGGCTGTGTGGGGCTCTGTCTCCCTTCAGCTGGCGAGAGCACACCCCAATCTGCATGGGCGGGGGGGCCTGTCTCTGTCCAAAGCTTAGGCCCCACCCCTGCGCCACTGGCACTGCCCCTTCCCTTCTCATCCCCTCTCTCCTTCTCCTCTCACCAGCCCCCGCTTCGAACTGCCCATGGGGACCACCGAGCAGCCGCCTCTGCCACAGCAGACGCAGCCTCCCGCCAAGGTACCGTCCGCCCCTGATCCCTCCTGCGGCTCTAGGCTGTCCTCACCCCACTGAAGATGCTGTGAGGGGGCCCTGGCGGAGGTCGGGGAGGGGAAGCGCTGGGGAGCTCAATAGTTGGCGTTGTGCCCCGCAGGGCTCTCTGCTGAGCTCTGTTCGGGATGCACAGCCCCTCTCCAGTGCTGCTCACTCTTTGGGATCCTCCCCCCACGCTCCCTACACCCACTCACGAGAGCAGGGAACCTGAGGCTCTGGGATGGTGGTGGTGGGGGCAGGTCTGGAGCAGAGCTCAGGCTGCCAGCTCACGGGTACAGGAAGGTAGGACAGGCCCTGGCAGGCCCACGGGGTCCAAGGCAGCAGTGGGCTGGCATGCTCCAGCTGTGAGGAGATGTCACCTCCCCCCCAAGTTGAGGGCACCCCTGCCCTCACCTGTCCAGGCTCAGCCAGGAGACCCAGCAGGCACACAAGCCAACCCTCGGGAGACTCAAGTTCCTGAGGGGTGCAAGCTGGGACCACTTGGGGTTTCTAGCGCGGGGCCCCTGCATTTCTGGGGGTCAGGCTGGGAAGTGGCCTTGAGGTCCAGTTCCTGCCCGAGCCCGCCAGGTCCCCCATGCCCCGAGACTCCCTAGAGGTCCCTCCGACATTTTCTGTGCCCTGCTTGCCGCGTAGGCTGCCAGACACCCTGGCTGAGCCAAGCGTCACCCCGAGCAGAAGCTCAAACCTCAGGACGGAACGTAAGGCCTGCTTGTGCCCGCGCCCCGCTGCCCCGGAGACCTCGTCTCTCGGCGTTTTCTTTTCTCCTTTTGGTTTCCGTTTCTGTGTGTGTGCATGGTGGTTTTCGGGCACACCGCCGGCTATTCTCTACCGCCTGTTCCGAGCCGGGCTCCGCAGCTCCTCCTGCTGCTGGCGTGGGAGCCCCGCGCTCCGTCCTCGTTGGTGGTCTGCGTGCACGTGTTTTCCGCAGTAAAACCGTGTTGTGTGACTCTTTCCAGCAAAGTAACAATCCGCCATTACAAAGGTCGTCCTCCTTGATCCAGTTAACGAGTCAGAACTCTTCTCCCAACCAGCAGAGAGCCCCGCAGGTCATCGGGGTCATGCAGAGTCAGAACAGCAGCACGGGCAACCGGGGACCCCGGCCACTGGAGCAGGTCACCTGTTACAAGGTGAGTCCCAGGTTGGGCGGGTGGGGGCACGTCACGGGCCATCCCTTACCTGGCATTTTGCCTTTGAGGCGGGAAACTCTCTTTGTATCTGCTGATGGCAGGAAAGTGGGCCCCGCGGGGTAGAGACCGCCTGCCAGCTCTGCCCGCTGCTGGGACAGGGTGAAGGCACTTGCCTTGCACATGGTCGACCCAGGTTCAAAGGAGCAAACCCTGAGCACCACCGGGGGTGGTCAAGAAATAAAAAAGGGGTAATTCCTCAAGAGACCAGGATCAGAGGAGGCACAAATCCAGAAGGGAAATTGATCCCAGAAGCTTCTGGAAGCACCTAGATCCCAAATGGACACACTCGGGCAGAGCTACCACCACCACCACCACCACCAAGAATAGGGTGAACTCTTACAAAACCACTGGAATACCAGTCTGTCCCCTCTCGGACCCAGAGCGGGGAGAAAAAGCTACCACCCTTGACCCTGGCAGCCCGGGGCAGACAACCAGGCCTGTGGTCACAGGCTTGGGGAGGGCCATGCAGCTCTGGCAGTCCTGCACAGGCGGGTTGCCGGCAGGGTGTTTGAGAAATCTCTCAGTCCAGGCCACACATAGTCATTAAAAATCAGAGAACAGGGGCCAGAGCACTAGTGCAGTGGGTAGGGCCTCTGCCTGGCACGTGGATTCAGGTGACCTTGATTCAAGTCCTGGAACCCCACCTTGTCTCCCAAGTTCTGCCAGGAATGATCCCTGAGCACGAGCCAGGAATAACCCCTGAACACCTCCAAGTGTGGCCCAAACGCCAAATGAAAACAAACCAGAGAAGAGAGCTTTTAGGCACTTCTTTACCTGGTGTGAGGCTGACCCCGGCTCAGTCACCAGCATCGTAGCCTCTTGAGCATCCTTGAGGGTGACCCAAAAACCTAGTACCCTCCAATCCCTGCAAAAACGCTGAAAACCGAGTCCGTGGACGAGACTCATGTGTTCTCTGAGGATGCCGTGTTCGTTTCCTCCGACGCTGTTAGGCCCCACCAGCAGATGCCGCTTCCCTCTGTCCGAAACAGCTGCTGTAGCCACTGCTTTTCTGCCCACACGTTGACTTTATTAGCTTATTTCAGTTCCAGACCATGGGGCTGGAGAGAACTGAGCATGCAGTTTCCCTGCAGGAGCTGTTTCAGTCCCTGCAGGGCACAGCAGAGTGTAGCCTGGAGCCCCCCACCCCCTTGAGAACAGCTCTTAGAAACTTCGGTTCCTATGATGCCAGGACATGTTTTAATAGAAGCAAGGCCTTGATACCTCTACCATCCTGTAACCTTTACGTGGCCTTGGTATCTATACCCTCATGCAGGTAATCTTGTTTAAGTGACTCTTAATTGAACCACAATTTATTTTTATTTATTTTGGGTCTTGGACCACACCCGCCAATGTTTAGGGCTTAATCCTAGAGGGCTGCAGGGAGAGAGGGAATCACACTGCATTCCAGAAATTGAACCCATGTCAGCTGCATGCAATTCAAGAGCCCTACCCACTCTACCATCTCCCCGGCCCCCACAATGTAGTTTTAACGGGCCATAGTCATTTCTCAGACCTTTGTCGTAGGAAAACTGCTCACTTGGACCATGGGTGTGTGGGCTCTGGGGTTGGCAGCACCCTGCCTCCAAGGAAACAGCTTCAGAGGGCCTGTGCCTCATATGCCCCTGGCGACGCCAGAGCTGCTGGGTGGGAAGAGGGAGTGGGGGCCTTGGATGCAGCTGCTTGCCACCCTGTGGCAACCCTATGCCAGCCCTCTAAGGGACAGGGCCACGTTGTCCCTCCTGGCCCAAGAATAGTTCAGACTGGGCAGGTTGCTTGGCCAAGCCGTCCCTGCCTGTTGCATCCCTGAGCCCAGCCGTTGCTTGGGGTGGGAGCCTCTGTTTACTTCCCCCTTGGTTGAGGACTGACAGTGAAAGGGGAGATTGAGGGGTGTGGACACTCTGCTAGGACAAGTCAGGCCTGGGTTTCAGGTCCTAGTCTAAGCGCTGTCCAGTCTCCGGCCTCGTGGGTAGCTTAGGCAGGTGAGCAAGAGTCAGGAGGGGACCCTCAGGGTACAGCCACCCTGTCCACAGCAGTGAGTCCCCACGCAGGGGCCTCTCCTGCCCCTCCTCGCCTCCAGGGATTCCAGGACGGTGCCTCAGAGGTAAGTGACCGGCCAGCGCAGAGGGGCTGGGGTGCCAATGGGCCACATGGGGACAGCCCCGGGGCGTGCCCTCATGTCACCCCTGCCTGCTTTCCCTCAGCTGGAGCCTCCCAGACACTGGCCTGTCCCCAGCCTGGTATGTGGTGGGCTGCAGGGTCAGGAACACCTTTGAAAGCATGTTTCGTTTTGTCTCCCTCTCCTCCCCGAACTGTTCCCAGTGTGGCGAGAAAGGACACTACGCCAACAGATGTACTAAGGGGCACCTGGCCTTCCTCAGTGGACAGTGACCTCAGCTGGAGCGTGCGCAGAGCCCCAAGGGCCGTCCTTGGAGCATATGCTGAACTGGGGTCCCTGTGCCCGGGCGGCTCTCTCCCCAGCGCATAGTACACTGTGCTGCCTCGTTCTTGGCTGCGCCTGTCACCTCCCCATCATTTGCTGGAATTTTAAGGGACACCTGCTTCACCTTGTCCTTCACCATCATCATGTCTGGACATCGGTGTCCCCCGTGGCGTTCCCACACGCCTGCCCCCTAGTGGCCGGGAGGGGCTCATGCAAAGCAGCTTGGGGGAAGTTGGCCATCTCCTACTGGACCCCACGGGACAGGTCAGTGGTGCCTCCGGCCCCTGCCACTTCCTCCTGCTGAATTCTGAAGCTGTGCCTATCCATGTGAGTTGACCGCGGTCACCTTCAGGGCAAATTCAAGTGCGCTTGTCCCTCTGCCCGGACCTGGTCCAGTGGCAGGCTCGAGGGGGCTAGGCACGCCCCGGGGAGCCCCTGGCCCACTGCCTGGCAGTGGGTAAGGTGTGCCTTAAGCTGAAGCCCTGTGCACCTACCTCCTGGCCAGCAAGTGTCTGTGCTGTCACCAGACCCCCTTGGGCCTGTGGAGACCACCCATCCCAGCCTGGAAATGTGAAACCGTCACCCACAACCGCTGGGCCAGTGGGTCTGTCCAAGTTCAATTATAAGAACAATGTTCATCAGAGTCGCTCAGAGCCTGGTTTTTCAGCTGCACTTGTGTTCCCACTCAGACAGGAGCAGAAGTGAGACTACATGCAGCCCTGAGCATTCAGACCCTTACAGACCTCAGGGCTTGTCCCAGCGGGGGCAACAGAGGGAGAACTGAAGGCTCCAGAAACAGCCAAGCCTGCCTGGGGCCATCCTGACTTGGATGGCAGTAAAAGTGCTAGAACCTGTGGACAGTCCCTGACCTGGGGGTCATGTGGCACAGGGGAAGGCAGTGTGAGCAAAGGGTTCACCTTTACACTGTCAGGGTGGGTGTGGGGAGCACCCTCTTTTCAAACCATCCAACTGTCCCCCGCCCATCTGGCACGGTGACACACAGCCAGAGAAGCCATCTGGAACTGGTCATTTATTGGGTGGTATGGGGATTTGGGTGCAGAGTAAAGTGGGAAATGCAGAGCATCCTCCCCCTCAGCCTTCAGTGGTACTTGCGATGCCGTTCGTGTTCTGTGAAAAAACAGCAGGACATCAGGGAGGGCGGTGAGCTGGGGCAAGCGGAGGGGGGGCGGGGGGGGGGGGTAAGAAAGCAGCCCGAGAATTCCTTCTAGGAGCTGATGTAGCATCCCTCACCCAGCCCGCACTCACTGAGTTCATGGTAGGAGCGGCAGTAGTTGAAAAGCACATAGGCGGCCAGGACCATGGACACACCGGCCACGCTGCCCTTCTTCACATTGATGTACTTGTCATAGTACCGCTGGTAACCTGCAAAGTGGAGGCGCTGGATGGGCTGCACAAGAGCACCCCAATCTGGGGCAGGGGAGAGCACTGATGCCTGTGGCCTTGATCTTGGAAACTAGATTCCACTTATCCCCCTCCTCCAAAATTCTGAGTCCAACTGCCAGTAAGAGCCATGCTGGCCTCCTGGGAGGATGAAGGGACATCAGATGGCAGGAAGGAGAGAGCCTGCTGCAGAAGTGCCTTTCAGAGCATGCTTCCCATCTCATTTCCTCCCCGTGGCACCCAGTGCTACCCACTGGCAGCCCCCTAGTCCTGTACTGTGGCCTGTGATTCTCATCCTGTGAAACCCATGGAATATTCCCAGGGGTCAAGAGTGACAGTACAGCAGGCAGGGCGTTTGCCTTGCATTCAGCCAACCTAAGTTCAATCCCCAGTACCCCGTAGGGTCCCCTGAGCACCACCAGAAACAATCCCTGAGCAGAGAGCCAGGAGTTAGCACTAAGCTATGCGTGGTGTGGTCAATAATTGGTCAATAATTACAAGGAATATTCTAGGATATGGCGTCCAGAGCAACCCCAGCAATATATCTCAGCAGTCCCTGAGCACAGCTGGGTGTGTGCCCCATCCCCACCCCCCATAAAAAAAGTGAACAAAATTTGTCCCTGGCAGGGAGGCCAGTGCCATGATGCTTCCAACTCACTTTCCTCATTAGCGAGCTTCAGGGAATGGGCCAATTCCAAGCCATTTTCTCAGCTGAAACCCCTCAGAACCAGCCTCGGATGGAAGCAATCAAGTCTAAGATCCAAGAGTGGGCCATGTTTCCTGGTCCCACGCGGGACAAGACCCATGTGTGTGTCCCTCTGGGCAGAGCCTGGGGCCCAGCTCACTCACTCGCACCCTCCTTAGCCTCTGACCTCTCTGAAAGGCTCCACCAATGCCTCTCGGGGTGAAGTCCCGCATCATTATCCAGCTCGTCAGCTCCCCAAGTTTGACATCCAGGAGTCGCTTGTCCTTCAGAGGCACTGGAAAGGAAGCAGACACTGAAGCTCTGGGAATGGGGGGGGACAGACGGACGGGACACCGCAGGGAGGGGGGCAGGTTATGGGGCAGAGAACGGGAGGCTCATATAAATCCATTCAGCTGTGTTAGCGCCTGGAGCCTCTATTTTACTAGACAGCAGAGACTGAGAAACCAGCTGAGTGGGAGCCAGAATGCAGCACCACCTACAGATGCCCTGAGCACCTGCTGGGAAATGTGGAAGCCTGGCATGATGTGCCCCGAATCTCCGAGAAAGGCCTCAGAGCACCTGGTTCCCACAGCCTCCAGCCCCCAGAGCACCAGCAGCTTGGATAAGACACCGCCCTGAGCGAGCACTGTAGGAGGGCACGAGCTTTGCATGCAGGTGACCCTGGGTCAGTCGTGCACTGCACTAGGTTCCTGGGGTCCTAAACACTGCCAGGTGTGTCACAAAAATATAAAGCCCCCAATGTGGCTCTATCTGGACCCAATGAGGCTTTTCCCCACAATTACAAACCAGAGAAACATCCTCTGCTTCTGGCTATGTCAGAAACCAGCACCCTATCTCGGCACTCCAGGAGGACTAACAGCCATGAGTTTATTTAGCTTTTTGGGTCACACAGGGATGCTCAGGGGTTATTCCTGGCTCTGCACTCAGGAATTACTCCTGGCCATGCTTGGGGGACCATATGGGATGCCGGGGATCGAACCCAGGTCGGCCGCGTGCAAGGCAAACGCCCTACCTGCTGTGCTATCGCTCCGGCCCGAACAGCCAAGAGTTTAAAATTCTCCTCTACTATCTGTACCTTTTACGTAAGGACAAGTGTTTCCTTACCCAAAACTAAGAAATCAACAAGGACATCACACGACGGCGGCGGGGGTGGGAGGGGGGTGGGGGGGTGGGGCAAAGAACTGATTAGGACCAAGGAGAGAAGTCACAAAACTCCCACGGTGGGGCTCCATCATCTCATTCATGAATTATGGGTGATAGTACAGCAGGGAGGGCATTTGCCTTGCACGCCACAGACCCGGGCTCGATCCTCTGTATCCCATATGGCCCCTGATTATCGCCAGGAGTAAATCCTGAGTGCAAAATGAGGAGGAAACCCCTGAGGATCGCTGGGTGTGACCCAGAAAAAACAAACCAAACCAAAAATCATTCTCGAATGTGCCCTATGGCAAGAGACCAGAACCTCAGGGTAGCCGGAGAGAGGTGCTCAAACCCCGGCACCATGACATCTGAGCAATGCCAGTGGGGCACCCCCAAAATCAAAATAATCATCAAAGGCCTTGGTTTCAGGACTTGGTGCAGCAGTCTGCCCTGCCTGTAACTTCTATGTGCAAAGTCCCTGGGTTTCACCCGTCATGTGCTTGCACACACAAACCAAAACTAAGAGATGAAATTCAATGCCCTCGCCCCCTGATGCTGTAAGAGCCAATAGATGGCATGAACAGTCAAAATCAGAGAGAAAGCTGGGTGACTAGCACTCTGTGGCGGGGCCAGGCAGTGCTCCAAACTCCTCACAGGTCCAAGCTGTCTAGTTTTTCATCAGTGGTCTTCCTGGGAAGCTTCTGCAAAGGCCCAGGTTCAGTACTTCTTTTCCACACCTGATGTCTTGTTGAAAGAATCCACCCCCCTCCTCGTCCCGTTGTGGGACGGGTAACACAGCCTTACCCCATCTCCTGATTGGCTCATTGCTCCAGACTGAGCTTAGGACAAGAACTGGGGCAAAACACGTCTGGGTTCACTAAAACTTGACCACCAACATGCCGTGTGACCTCGAGTACCCGCACCCGGCTTCTGACCTTTGTCACTCTGATCTCTAGGATGGGGGGATTTAATGCAGACACGATCTACTTATTTAAAAACCAAAATACAAAAGCTGGTGCACGCCCCGATGAGTGCCAAGCTTTGTACAAGCGGGGGAGAACTACGGTCCCGGGTCCTCCTGGGGACACGAGCTCGGCTGACGACGCAGGTCAAGGAGACGTGACCTTGAGCAGATGGCCTCGCGTCCCTAAGCCTATTCTGCACACATTCAGCCCGCGGTCGCCGCCGGCCCTGCAGGCTGCGGGGCACTGTGCCGGCCATCGCCTCCCCTCGCCTCCCCCCCACCCCAACCCCCGGGAGCACCGTCTGCGCACCGGCCTGGGAGAGGGAGGGGTGCGCGCAGCCCTCGGGGACGAGCGACCTCGGCGCGAGGAGCCCCGGCACCGCCCCCCGCGCAGCCCGGAGGGTGCGTGGCCCCACGGCCTTCACCCTCGTTGCCGCAAACGGCGCGGCCGCTACAGCCACCAAGGGTCGGACGGCGCAGGACCGTGGGAAAAGGAGCGGGCGCGCCTCCCGCGGCCTGAGCGCAAAGGGGCGGGCTCCGCGGTTCCCTATTCTCGCACGGCGGCCCTGCGTCTCGAGGGCACGATCGATCTCGGCTCCGGCTCCCGACTGACTGCCCTGCCCGGCTCGGAGACTCACCGCCCGACGCCATGTTGGAGTCCTAGGTGTCCGCAGTGCCTGGCGCGCGAGGGCTGCTGGGAAAGGAGGCGCGCTCCGGCGGGCTGGAAGCAGAGGCTCACGGGAAAAAGGTCGCCACACCATGAGCCGTCGGCCTCGAGGACGCCATGGAGTGAAGGGCAGAGCCCAGGGACTGGCAGGATCTGAGGCTCAGCTGGGACTTCTGCCCAAGTAGAAAAGAAGGTGGGCAGGAAGAAAGCCAAAGCGGGAAAGAGAGTCTTGAGCCTCTTACTCCGTCACTTTCGTATTGGTGTCACACGGGACAGAGCCCCGACACCGGATGTTCAGGGTCGCGATCCCTGTTGGTATTCTGGGTCCGGGGATAAATCAGCTTTAATCGCCGGATTGGCCTTTTTTCTAGCTAACTTTTTTTTTTTTTTTTTTGCCATACCCGGCGATGCCTAGGGGTTATCTCCTGGTTATGCACTCAGAAATCCTTCTGGTGTTACTCCAAGGACTGTATAGGATGCCGGGAACCGAACCCGGGCCTCTGGCGTGCAAGACAAGTGCCTTACTCTCAGTACTATCTCAGCAGCCTCATTCTGGTGACTTTCCAGAGACATCCGTGTAAAAATCCGCGCAGTGGTGTTCTTTAATTAACACAGAAACTATGTTCTTGTAGTCCACCTGAGGTCACCAGGCATGACTGGCAGAGGTTTCACCGTTTTTCCCAGTGTATTGTTTTGTTTTTGCCACTCACATCTGTGCTCAGGGCTCACGACTGGCTGGGCTCCTGGAACCCCATCTGGTGCTGGAAATCAAACCTCCTATCAACCACGTGCAATGCTAGACTATCTTCCTGGTCCCTCAGTATATTCATCTAGAGAAATTCCTGTAGGAATTAGAAAAAAATCATAAGTGGGTGATGGAACCAGCAACTAGCCTTGGCTGCTCCATAGAATGTTCTGTGCTGATAGACATGGATCATTCTGTGCTGCGCAATTCAGAACCAACAGTGATATTTGGTAGTTGAGACCCAAAAATGTGACTGTTGGGCGGCCAGAGACAGTACAGGGGGTAGGGTGCTTGCCTTGCAATCTGCTGACTCCGCCCATAGAGCTTGGAGTAAGCCCCCAAGTACTGGAGAGTGGGGGCTCAAACAGAAAAAAAAAAAAGACGGGGAAAGTGTTTGTATATGTTCTTGTATATGCTATTTACACATGTGTACATGTATGTACATTCTATGAGAAGAGTTATCTATACTTCCTTTACATTCCATAGCTCTATAACTCAAAATAAAAAAGAAGTATCAGATACTGCATTTGAGAAACCAAATACATCACTAAACAGGAAAGACTGGAAGATGGCTCAAAGGGCATGCAGGAGTGTTGGGCTTGATCCCCAGAAACACGTGTTCCTGGGTAACAAGCACCTCCAGTGACCCCTGTACACCGGCCCTTCTCAACAAAAAAAGTTTTCTTGTCACACCTGCCTTTCACAACACTTGAGCTTGAATTTTATTTTTGGGCCACACCTGTATGTGCCCAGGGTTACTTTTGGCGCTGTGCTCTGGGCCCACTCCTGGTGATCTAGAGAACGAGGAGGCCCCAGCATAGAACTGGCCACACTCTGGAAGACCCTCACCACTGTCAAGAGCCACTGGTCATGGCATTACCCCAGCAAGTCTCTGGGACATCCCAGCAGGGCAACAGCAGTCATGTGACTCTGCGTCATGTCTCTAATGACAGCAATGCAACCAGCACCTTCAGAACCTGAGGGTCCTAAAGGAAATCCCCTCACCCCCTTTATTTTCTTTATTTTTTAAATTTTTTAAAAAAATTTTATTTTAGGGGCTGGTTTGCCTTGCATGCGGCCGATCCAGGTTCGATTCCCAGCATCCCATATGGTCCCCGAGCACCACCAGGAGTAATTCCTGAGTGCATGAGCCAGGAGTAACCCCTGAGCATCGTTGGGTGTGACCCAAAAAAGCAAAAAAAAATGTATTTCATAAGGTAGTTCACAATATTTGATTATATTTAATATTCAAACACCAATCCCACCACCATTATACCTTCCCACCACATTTGGTTTGTTTCTATCCAAAACCTCAATCCCTGTCCCAAAGCAGAACCAAAATATATTTTATATTGTTTGTTATGGAAAACCGCTGAAAATGTTACAAAAAAGTATCCATAGAGGAAAGAGTGTTAAGACTGGTCTATTTGGCAGGGGCCATTAAGACCTCCTATAAGTTATCACTAACATGTTATTAAAGGTTGAGCCTTGGGGCTGGAGCAATAGCACAGCGGGTAGGGCATTTGCCTTGCATGCGGCTGACCCGGGTTCGATTCCCAGCATCCCATATGGTCCCCCGAGCACCGCCAGGAGTAATTCCTGAGTGCATGAGCCAGGAGTAACCCCTGTGCATCGCTGGGTGTGACCCAAAAAGAAAAAAAAAAAAGGTTGAGCCTTGTGGAGTCTCATATATGTCTGTAAATACATATATATATGTATATATATTTATACATATATATTTATATAAGTGTATACATATAAATATATATAAATACATATATATATAAATACATATATATATTTCCCTCTATGATTGGTTGCCTACTATTTGAACCCCATCAAATGTGGTGCGGTACTCTTGAAGTATGGGTAGGGTATGTGATATGAAGTGTCCAGGAATAGATTCATTCGTGGATGATGCTCTGTCCAAGCGTGTGGAGAGCAGCTGTGAGCGTGGCAGCGGCTGGGTTCTGAAGGCTGCTGGGGCTGGGTCCTTTGGAGCGGGGAGGGATCTCACCCGCCCCCTCTGGGGTGCTCCTAGTGAAACAGCCTGGAGTTGGTCCAGTGGCATGACTATGGCAAGTGTCATGTTCCCTTCCGGGAGAGGACATGTGATCTGGATGGTGGCCGATGATATTACCTGGCACCAGTCAGAGGTGGCTTATGTCAACCTTCTTCTGTAATCTGAGCAGTCACACCAGGTGGCCAGGGTCTGTAGGGACCCAAAATTCATCTGGCTCCTTCCATCTTGTTTGTGATTTCTGGGCCACATCTGGCGATGCTCAGGGGTTTCTCCCAGCTTCTTACTCAGGAATCAATCAGGTGGTGCTTGGGAGGCCAAATGGGAGGCCAGGGATAGAACCCGGGTCAGCCCCCAGCGAGGCACCTTACCTGATGAACAGTCTCTCCAGCCCTTTTTGCTATTATTCCAGCCTTGCCCCTTTTGCTTTTTTGAGTGGCCCTTGGGATGTTTTGTTTTGCTTTTGGGTTTTGGCCTAATCCAGGCAATGCTCAGGGTTTACTTTTGGGGGCTCAGGGGACCATATGGGCTACCCACTGTACTTACCACTCCAAGGGCCCTCTTTCCTCTTTGGTGGAACCAGGTGAAGAATGCTTGTCTGCACTTTATTGGGCTTAATTTCTTTTCTAATTCTCGGGTGCTTTGATTATGGGCGACACCAGGCAGTGCTTGGGAACTACTGCCACTTGGGCTGCTCAGGGACCGTGTGTTACTGACCCAACTCTCCCACAGGTAATCACCGAGCTCGCTCCTCCGCCCCGAACGGAGAACAGGATGATCAGAAGCCTTGCATGCGCAAAATAACCTAACTCGATTTTCGTTTTTCCAAAAAGCCAGACCTGGTAGTTAGGGTTTCATCGAAGCCATAAAACTTTGGGCTTGTTTTGGCATGCAAAACATCTGGACCGTGGCCCTTGAGCTTTTATTTCTATTATTTGGCGTGTTTTTTTTTTTTTTTAAGGCCACGTCTAACCAGGGGTCGCTCTGCTCGAGGGACCAAACGCAAGCAAGCGTGATAAGAGCCTGTTTCTCCAGACTTCATCTGGAGGGTTTTGTTTTTTTTTTAATCGAGGGTGTGGAGTTTGAGGGTCACACCCGGTGAAGACCAGGGGACACTCGAGTTCTGCATTGGGGGATCACTCCTGGCGGAGCTCGGGATGCCAAGGACGGAACCGCAAGTCGGCAAACCCTCTCCCCGCTGTACCAACTCTCCAGCTGCCCCTCCGGAGTTCTTCCACAGCAGCTTCTCCTTCCCCCCACCCCCCAAGAGGAGACCCCTGCGAGGGGGGACTGGCTCCACTCGAAGGCTCACGGTCGCCGACAGGCGCCCCCAAGCCCTCTGGGAAGTGGAGTCCTCGCGCCTGGACCCCCGACCCGACGCGGGCGCCTCCGAGTGCGCAGATGCGAGTCCGCCCGGAGCCGCGGGCTGGAGCCTTTTGTCTCCCGCGGCTCGGGGTGTGAGTCGGCGCCTCCTTCCCGCCCCCCGCCCGCCCGGCCCGGGCCCGGGCGACAGAAGGTGGGTCTGCGGCGCCCGCGGCCGCCAGCGCCGCCCGGGCCGCACCAGCGACCCCCGCCGCCGCCGCCGCCGCCCGGCCGGGCGCCCACCGCGGCCTCGGAGCGGGAAGGCCGGGCCCTGCCCGCGTGCCCGACTCGACGTGGAGCGCGGAGCGCGGGGCGCGCGTCCCCCGGGGGGGAGCCCCGCGGCGCCTTAGCGGGCTCGGACGCGCTGGGTGGTGGCGGGGCACTCCGGAAGTGGGGACGGCGCTGGGCCTTCTGGGAAATGGAGTCCGGAGCGCGCCGCGAGGGATTCTGGGAGCGGGAGTTCCGGGGCGGCCCCGGGACGGAGCGCGCGCGCCCCCTGCCGGCGCGCGCTTTTAATGGGCTTTCCGCCTGTCACCCAGGCAAGAGCCTTAAGGCTCTGTTTGGTTTTGTTTGTTATTTGGGGCCCACACCGGCGATACTCAGGAGTTACTTCAGGATCTGCCCTGAGGAATCACCCCTGGGACTGGAGAGAGTGCAGCGGGGAGGGCATTTGCCTTGCACATGCCGATCCAGGTTAGGTTCGATCCTCAGCATCCCATATGGTCCCCTGAATACCGTGTGACTCCAAAAACAAAGACCCCAAAAGACCCAGAGTCAGGTGTGCCTCCCGAAAGAAAAACTCCGCAGTATTAAGGATGAATCAACTTTTTTGGGGGGGTCACACCCAGCGATGTTCAGGGGTTATTTCTGGCTCTGCACTCAGGAATTACTCCTGGGGGTGCTTGGGGGACTATATAGGATGCCGGGGATCGAACCCAGGTCGGCCGCGTGCAAGGCAAACGCCCTCCCTCCTGTACTATTGCTCCAACTTTAAGAGCCCTGTTTGTGGCAGTTGTGCTCCTTGAGCCACAGGCCACTTTTGGGGCACTTGCCTGCATTAGCACCCAGGCAGAGCCCTGCAGCTCACTGCTCGGATTCAGGCCTCCTGTCGTTCGTGACGGGCCTTGGAATGGAAGGAGAGAGTCTTGCAGCTGTGGCAGTAGTTTAATCTAAAGAAGGGTCTAAATTATAAAGAAGGGTCCGAGCTCCTACACCTGAAATGCGTCGGGGAGGCCTAGGAGTGGAGTAGGAGGGAGCCAGCCTGGGAACTTGTCCCAGATGGGACCAAGCCTAACTTCAGAATTTCTCTGCAGAGCTTCACAGCTGAGCCAAACAGTCTCTGCAAAGAAGATTCTGAATTGCTGGAAAATCCCAGCCTGTGAAGAAACTGAAATTCGGTGATAACAGGATAAACGAGAAGCTGATCATGGATTACCTGAGCATTGAGGTTGAGGAGGAAGGTAAGACTTCCAGTAATGAACCTGGAGTTGAAAGATGAGAACCTGTGGGGCCAGAGCAATAGTACAGCGGGGAAGGTGTTTGTCTTGCATGTGGCTGAGGTAGATTTGATCCCCAGCATCCTGTAGGGTCCCTGAGCATCACCAGGAGTGATTCCTGAGTGCAGAGCCAGGAGTAAGCCCTGAGCATCACCAGGTGTAACCCAAAAACTTAAAGAAAATAAACGGTGGGGGAGGGGAACATGTAGAGGTAAGATCCGTAATAAGAAGGCAGAAGCTTGGGGCTCCCCCGTGTCAGGAGGGGAGAGGGGAAGCTCACACATTCGGAGGGGGCCCCATCGGGGAAGCGTTCGGGAGCCGTTGTATCCTAGACTCGCCCACCACTCCCTCCAGGCTTCCTTATCCTGCACTTCCGGCTCATCCACAGGTGCTGCAGAGCCCGGGAAGGGAGATTGTGCCGTAGTGCTTGCTTTTGTGAGTCTGTTCGCGAAGGTTGCTGGGCTGTGTGTATGTGAGCCTGTTCACCCTCTGTCCTCCGCTAAGCTTGAGGGCACAGGACAGATCTGACACATGGGCGGCAGCTGGCTCATGCCAGGGTCTGTTCCTGAGATGCTGGAAAGCGGAGGAGCGCTGTCTCTGCTCAGAGCTGCTTTTCTGCCTTTCCAGCCCTGAGGACAGAGGATGCCGCCCTGTCCCCAAACCAGAGCGCCGAAGAGGTGGAGCCGACTGCAGAGCCCTTTCCTGCTGAGTTCCAGGCAAGTCTCATTGATTTCTCTCTCCTTCCATCTTATTTTGGGGTTCCCACTAAAGTCTCATTTGGGGACCACACCCAGCAGTGCTCAGGGCTGAGTGCATTTAGGTATCGCTCCTATGGTGCTGGGGATTGAACCTAGGTTGGCTGGGTGTGGCCCAGCCCGCCCCCAGTACAGAAAATACTCCCTCTTTTCTCTTGCTAGTTTATCTCAGAGACTCCAAGACTCAAGGAAAGTATGTTGTTTTTCAGGAGTTGGTGACCGTCAAGGGTGAGGAGCTAGACTTGGCCCATGAGGAGGTGGAGGAGTTGAACTCTGCCGAGAGGCACATGGGCATGAAGATGGTGGTGAACAGTTGTGGGAGCCTGGTGTTCTGGGGTAAGAAAGCTGATATGCCAAAAAAAAAAAAGGAAGAAAAAGAAGAAGAGGTTGAGTGATAGTATAGCAGTTTGGGCACTTGCAGACACTTGCCTGGCACTCCATATGATCCCCTGAACCCCACCAGGAATGATCCCTGAGTGGTGCATCATCAGGAGTAAGCCCTAAGCACCTCTTGGTGTGGCCCCCAAACAAGAAAAAATCAAATACCATAGTTTTTCTTAGGCTCTGGGAATCCCTGATCACTTGGCACTTAGAATTGGGCTCCTTTCTCTTGCAACGAATAGAGCCTTACTGGTGTGGCACTGGAGAAGGCCAGCTTCATTATATGGACTTGAAGACTTAAAAAGTGCCTGTCAGGGGCTGGAGAGATAGCACAGCGGGTAGGCCGTTTGCCTTGCATGCGACCAACCCGGGTTCAATTCCCAGCATCCCATATGGTTCCCAGAGCACCGCCAGGAGTAACTCCTGAGTGCAGAGCCAGGAGTAATCCCTGTGCATCAACAGATGTGACCCAAAAAGCAAAAAAAAAAAAAAAAAAAAAAAAAAAAAAAAAGTGCATCAGTAAAACTGCATGGTCCTAGGGAAAGGGAATGCAGGTCAGTAGAGAAACGGTCCACGGGCTGTTCATTCATTTCAGCATAGAAGCACATCAAGCTGAAACCAAGATCCTTCCCTGGGGGAATGTTGCTGCACTCTTGGAGGCCCAGAGGTTTAAGGAAACCGTCCCTTTGTCCATCCTCCCTTCCTGCATCTTAGAGAGTAATTCAGACTAAATCATAATCCGGAGTGAGCCTCTAGAAGGAACATGACTTTGTGACATTTTGTAAAGGAAAGCTTAATGAGATGATACCAGAGGGCCTGAGAGTCTGCTTATTTTGGTCATTTTATGATTTTTTAAGTGGGGATGCCACACCCAGCTGGTTCTGTTCCTAACTCAGTGTTTAGGAGGGACCCTGATGGTGCAGGGAGACCATCTATGGAGGTAGGGGTTCAAACTGGGGTCAGTGAGATGTAAAGCAGGTGACTTACCCGTGTACGATCTTGCCAACCCCCACCCCCCAGTTTGCTATTATCTTTGTGTGTAACGTGTCTTTTTTGATGAGTCCTTTGCCCTGTGTTTGTTTGTTTTTTTAATTGGGAGTTGGCGGTGCACCACATCTCTCAATGTACATTTTTAAAGGAGAGCTTAATGAGATGATAGCAGAGGGCCTCGAGTCTGTTTATTTTGAAGTCATTTTATGATTTTTTTGTGAGTTACTCCTCACTCTGCACCCAGGAATTGCTCCTAGCAGTGCTCAGGGAACCATCAGGGATGCCGGGATTGAACTCAGATCACCAGTGTGCGAGGCAAGCATCCTACAGGCTGTAAAACAAAAAGACAAGAGGAACTTATTTTCAGGGGGAGGGAAAGTTGGGACCACACGGCAGTACCCAGGGCCTCCCCCCTTACCTTGTGCTTCAGGGTTGCTACTGGTAGTGTCACATCTGGCATCCTTAACTCCAGGTGGTATCATTTTTGGTTTTTATTTATTTATTTGCTTTTTTGGGGCTCACACCCGGCAATGCACAGGGGTTACTCCTGGCTCTGCACTCAGGAATCACTCCTGGTGGTGCTCAGGGGACCATATAGGATGCTGGGCATCAAACCTGGGTCAGCTGGGTTTTTTTTTTTTTCTTTTTCTTTTTGGGTCACACCCAGAGATGCACAGGGGTTACTCCTGGCTTTACACTCGGGAATTACTCCTGGTGCTGCTCAGGGAACCATACGGGATGTTGGGAATCGAACCCGGGTCGGCCACATGCAAAGCAAATACCCTACCCACTGTGCTATCACTTCAGCCCCAGGTGGTATTATTGTGAGTAATATTTTGTTTGTTTTTTCTCATCACTTTTCTAAAACTACCCAATCTTGATCTATGATTTCCTTCCCTTTCCTTCATTTTCATTGTGGGTTTTTTTTTGTTTTTTTTTGCTTTTTTGGGTCACACCCAGAGATGCACAGGGGTTACTCCTGGCTTTGCAACTCGGGAATTACTCTTGACGGTGCTCAGGGAACCATATGGGACGTTGGGAATTGAACCCGGGTCGGCCGCATGCAAGGCAAATGCCCTACCCACTGTACTATTGCTCCAGTCCCTCCTTTGTTGTTTTATGCTGATATTCACTCTTCTTCCTTCTGCTTATCTGCCTCTCTGCTTATTCACTCTGCCACTCTCTTAGGTAGAATGTCTTCTTCACGGCATCTCCTTTATCCTGCTTCGTATCATTCCCCCGTTTATGGTTGGTTAGTTTCAGGGCTGGTGGTGCTCAGGGCTTACTCCTGGCCCTGTGCTCAGATGCAAAAGGGACCAGATGGGGTGCCAGTGGTCAGATAGGGTTGGTCACATGCCAATCAGGTGCCCTGCACATAATGCTTTTTCTCCAGTTCTCTCCGCTTACGTATGTCTCTGAATTTTTTTTTTTTGCTTTTTGGGGTCACACCTGGTGATGCACAGGGGTTATTCCTGGCTTTGCACTCAGGAATTACTCCTGGCAGTGCTCGGGGGACCATATAGGATGCTGGGAATCGAACCCAGGTGAGCCACGTGCAAGGCAAATGCCCTACCTACTGTGCTCCAGCCCCATGTCTCTGATTTTTTTTTTTTTTGCTTTTTGGATCACACCCGGCAATGCACAGGGGTTACTCCTGGCTCTACACTCAGGAGTTACCCCTGGCAGTGCTCAGGGGACCATATGGGATGCTGGGTATCGAACCAGGGTCAGCCACGTGCAAGGCAAACGCCCTACCCGCTGTGCTATTGCTCCAGCCCCTGTCTCTTAATTTTTGTCATTTGCCTTTTCCACCAACTCTTTCTGAAGTATTTCAAATAAATATTAACTTTAATTTTTTTTTTTGGTCACACCTGGCGATGCTCAGGACTTACTCCTGGCTCTGCACTCAAGAAGCACTCCTGGCAGTGCTCAGGGGACCATATGGGATGCTAGGGATTGAACCCAGGTCGGCCGTGTGCAGGCAAACACGTTACCTGCTATATTATCGCTTCAGCCCCATAAATATTTATTTACTTATTTATTTTTGCTTTTTGGTTCACACCCGGCGATGCTCAGGTGTTACTCCTGGCTCATGCACTCAGGAATTGCTCCTGGCGGTGCTCAGGGGACCATATGGGGTGCTGGGAATTGAACCTGTGTTGGCCATGTTGGCTGCGTGCAAGGCAAACGCCCTACCCTCTGTGCTATTGCTCCAGCCCCCATAAATATTTATTTTTATTGTTCTGTTGGTACCACCCCTAGGGGCCACACATGGGCTACTCCAGGCTCAGTGTCCAGGGGAACATGCAGTGGGAATTGAGCCTGGGATGCTTACTTGCAAAGTGTATGTTCCTCCCTCCGACCATCTCTCCAGCAACTCAAATAAATGTGTTATAAGGTTTGAGACCATACACAGGTCATCCAAGAGTGACCCCTGACAATGCTCATGCGACTCCAGCCAGGGCTAGCCTCATGGCCAGGGATGTCCAGTGCCTTATGTCTTGTTCTCTCTCCAACCCTCAAATAATGATTGAATCAGAGACACAGTTCCTGATTGGGTTTCAGTCATATAATTTTCCAACACCTGTCTCTTCACCAGCGTACGTTTCCAACTACCAATGTCCTCAGTTTCTCTCCTGGACCCCCCCGCCACACACACACACACACCTTTGTGGCAGATGGTAGACACCTTTCTTTTCTCTCTCTCTCTCTCTCTCTCTCTCTCTCTCTGTCTCTCCCCCCCCCCCCGCCCTGTTTTTGGGCAATATGGTTTGCAATACAGATACTGAAAGGTTAATCATGTATATCCCTTTACCTACTTTCAACGCTCAGTTCTTGTCCAGAGTGTTCATTTCTATTATTTTTATTGTTTGCTTTTTGGGTCATACCTGGTGATGCTCAGAGGTTACTCCTGGCTGTGCTTGGGGAGATCATACGGGATGCCAGGGATTGAACCTGGGTCGACAGCGTGCAAGGCAAAATGCCCTACCCGACTGTACAGTCGCTTATTGTCATACTGTCATACTCTTATTGTCATACTGGTTACTTCTCTCCTTTCTGCCCTTCACCCCTCCCCCCACACACACACTTGTGGCCATTGACCAGTCGTCCTGGCCCCTATTTTACCTGGCCTTGGGACATTAATCTCATTCTTTTTTTTTTTTTTGACACAAACGTCCTTGTTGCAATTTATTTCAGATTCTGAAACGACCCTTGAAGCGAATGAGTCCCTGTCAAAGTTGGAGGGTTATGAAATATCACCTGAGCGGGATCTAATCATCGAAAGGCTGAAAACCGATGATTTCTGGGACTCCAGGCTGATCGAAACATGGGCGTGCGAGGGCACGTTGGAACGGCAGCAGGTAACTCAGGCCAGAGACTTAAGGTACGTCAGAAGCAAGTACACCAGAGGCCCGATGGACAGTCCTCCCGAAGCCGGGGAGGGCTCTGCGCCCCCGCGACGGCGGCGGAAGGCCGAGTCGGTGCGGAAGCCTTGGCAGTGCCGCGAATGCGGCCGCAGCTTCCGCTACTACTCGGCTCTGGTCCCGCACCTGCGGCTGCACTCGGGGGAGAAGCCGTTCGCGTGTCCCGGCTGCGGGAAGGCCTTCGGCCGCAGCTCGACGCTCCGGCAGCATCAGCGGACCCACGCGGGGGGCGCGGCACCCTCACACCGCCGGGGCCACCCCCGGGAGCGGCCACACCTGTGCCAGGAGTGCGGGAAGGCGTTTTGCGGTGCCCCGGCGCTCAGCAGGCACCAGCGAGTCCATGCCCGGGACAGACGATGCGGCTGCCGGGAAGGCGGGGACGCCACCGCTGTGGTCCTCGTCGGGGCCCCGCACCGCCAGACCCACGCCCCTGGGAATACGCCCACTGCGTGCCACCCAGGTGGGGCCCTGGCACGGCCCCCAGGGACCCGCAGCGGGGAGAAACCGTACCAGTGCGGGGACTGTGGAAAGGCCTTCGGGGACCGCTCTGCCCTGGTCAGGCACCAGAGGGTCCACACGGGAGAGAAGCCGTACCGGTGCCGGGAGTGCGACAAGGCCTTCAGCCAGAGCTCCTCCCTCACCAAGCACCTGCGGACGCACACCGGGGAGAAGCCCTACGCCTGTAAGGTCTGCGGCAAAGCCTTCAGCCAGAGCTCATCTCTCATCCAGCACCAGAAGACCCACGCCGGAGGGAAGGCCTGCAAGTGCGACAAACGCCAGAGAAGTCTCGGGGTGCGAGCGGCGCTTTATCAGCACAAAGAAATCCTCAGTGGCTAGAAAGGAGCCAACCCATGCAGTGACTCTTGGTTTTTGTTTGTTTGGTTGTTTTTTTTTTTGGGGGGGGGAGTGCACACCACGATGCTCAGGGGTTACTCCTGGCTCTGCACTCAGGAATCACTCCTGGCAGTGCCTGGGGGACCCTATGAGATGGCGGGGAATCGAACCCCGATCGGCTGTGTGCAAGGTAAGTGCCCTCCCTGCTGGACTATCACTCCGGCCTCCATGCAGTGATTCTTAGCTCTTAATGGCATAAGACCAGTTCTAAATATTACATGGTAGACGACAAAAACATGACATGAAACAGTGACACACACAGGATGGCTCGCTGGACGTACCCTCAGGTATGGGAGAGGAAAAGAAGTCTATGTGGATATATCGGTGACAAAATCAAAATAGCTGAAGGGAAAGAGGAGGGTTTCTGGGGCAGCACAGAGAAAATCTAGTTTAATCAGAGGAATAGTAAGGAGGTGCATGCCTAATAGCAGCATGAAAACTAGTTACAGAGCTAACAGTTGTTCCTTGACGCTGCTGGCTCTCTAAACAAGACACTTTTTTTTTTTTTTTGCTTTTTTTGGGTCATATTTAGAGATGCACAGGAGTTACTCCTGGTTCATGCACTCAGGAATCACTCCTGGCGGTGCTCGGTGGACCATATGGGATGCTGGGAATTGAACCCGGGTCGTCTGTGTGCAAGGCAAACGCCCTACCCACTGTGCTGTTGCTCCAGCCCCTAAATATAGGAGATTTTTTTGGTGTTGTGTTTGGGTCACACCCCACTTGCTTACTCCTGGTGCTGCATTCAGTGATCATTTTTGTTATTATTGCTTGGGGGACCATATGTGGTGTTGGAGATCGAACCCAGGTGGTCTACATGCAAGGCACTTAGGCACCCTCCCTGCTGTACTGTCCCTCCAGCCCTCTGAATAGTCATTTTAACCTGAAGCTCATGAGATTAGAATCCCAGAAGGATATCACTAGAAAATTTTCTAAGGAAATGTAGCACTGTAGCACTGTCCTTTTGTTGTTCATCGATTTGCTAGAACGGGCACCAGTAACATCTCACAACAAATTGTGAGACTTGCTGTTACTCTTTTTTGGCATATTGAATAGGTTACGGGTAGCTTGCTAGGCTCTCCGAGAGGGGCAGAGGAATCGAACCCAGGTCGGCCATGTGCAAAGAAATGTAAAGTAGGAAAAATATCTTAGCCCAGAAAATTCTCCTTTGCTCTGTTCCTGCACCATGCTTTTTCACTTAGACACTTGCAAGCATTTAAACCAGCAGTTTTAACCCTGTGTGTACATTGAAATTAACTGAGATGCTTAGGAGGCCAGAGCGATAGGACAGCAAGAAGGGCATTTGCCTTGCATGCAGCCAGCCTGGGTTTGTTCTCTGGCACTCTGTTGGGTCCCCTGACCCCACCAAGAGTGATTTCTGAGTGTTGAACCAGGAGTCAGCTGAGCACAAGCAGGTGTGCCCCCTACCTCCCTCCAAAAGCAGTAACAGAAAAAAGGGAATGATGATAAATTAGACCTAGTGACAAGTTAAACCTTTCTTCTGCCCTCCGATAAAATTTGAAGAAAATGCATAGCCCACAAATCTAGAGAAAATATTTGCAGGTCATACAGAGAATCATGTCCAGACTCAAAATAGCATCTACAAACAATCAAATGTGTCCACGGAGCCAGAACTTCAAAAAATACAGACTTTTCATTGCTGCACAAGCACGTCCGAAGAGCTCTGACGGCAATCAAAGCCATGGAAGGCTGGAGCTGAACCACAGTCCCAAAACGCACAGTGGATGAGCAAGTCACATCAAGTTCTTGGGGATGTGAAACAAATCATGGTAGGCTGCATGCCCCCTGCTTTGTAAGATGCCCATGTGCCCTCATCCTTGGAACCTGCGAGTAGGTTATGTGTCCTGGCTGGAGGAAGTTTGTAGATGCAGGTAAGGTTAGGGACTTAAAAGACAGATGATCCAGATCATCCAGGAGCACCATCTCTAATTGCACAGCACCTGGAAAAACAGAGAATTGGTCTGGAGGCTTAAGGGATGAACTGAAAGAAATTCAGAGCATGTGCAGGATTTGATGGCTCACTGGGGCTTGACGGTGGAGCGGCCTGAGGGGCTGCAGACCTCTCCTCCAGAACCTGCTCAGAGCTCAGCCCCAGGACATTTTGATTCAGCCTGTGAGCCCCCAAATGGCTAGATCCACCCGGGCTTCTGCCCTGTAGAGCAGAGAGATAATAAACGTGTGTTGTTTTGAGCTGTTACGTGTGTGAGTCCTTATACGTTACTAGTCATTGGTCAAAAGTATATTTGAGGGGACAAAGTGATAATACAGCAGGTAGAGTGCTCGCTTCCCATCGCATGCGGCTGACCAGGGTTCAATCCTTGGCACCTCACCAGAAGAGATTCCTGAGCTCAGAGTCATAAATAAGCCCTGAGCACTCACAAGTATGGCCCTGACAGAAAGTGTATTTGAGGGCCCAGGAGATAGTACAGTGGTTAAGGCACTTGCCTTGCACACAGCTGATCTTGGCTCAATCCCTAGCACATTTGGTCCCCTGAGCACCTTCAGGAGTGAACCCTAAGGGCAGAGCCATGAATAAGCTCTGAACACTGTCTGGTATGGCCCAAAAACCAAAGGGGAGAAAAATAGGGCCAGAGAGCCTATACAGTGGGCAGAGCGCTTGTCTGCACACGGCCAACCGAGGTTCGAACCCCAGCACCACTCATGGGCCCTCAAGCCCTGCCGGGAGTGATCCCTGAGCAACACTGGGTGTGGCTCCAAACTGAAAAACCAACGCAGAAACGTTAAGAAGAGAGTGCTTCGTGAACGCACGTAACTTTGCGACTATTTGGAGTCCTTAGGTGACTGAGGTCTAAGTAGAAAGATTTTCTAAATGACTCCAGGCAAGATGAGATTCAGAGCCTGTGGTGTGTTAGGGGCTCGCCTTTTCAGGGGGCTCCTGGCTCGGCTTCCTCTGTGTGTGGCACTCACAGCTGAAACGTGTGTGTGGAGACCAGATCATCAGAGGGAGCCTCCAGAACGGAGACACCCAGAACCTGACTCCCAGGACGTGGGCATCGGAAAGTAAACGGCTCAGGCTGGAGGCGTCAGGAGGCGGGGACTTTATTCCTGTGGACCCGCTGATGCCGCAGCAGGTGCGGGCTCTGGCGGAAGCTGTCCCCGCACTGGCCGCAGCGGTAGGGCTTCTCCCCCGTGTGCGTGCGCGCGTGCGTGGTGAGCGTGGCGCTCTGGCTAAAGCGCTTCCCGCAATCGGGGCAGGCGTAGGGCCTCTCGCCCGTGTGCACCCGCTGGTGCTTGGCCAGGTCTGAGCTGCGCTTGAAGCTCTTCGGGCAGTGCTCGCAGGCGTGGGGCCGGTCCCCGCCGTGCAGCCGCTGGTGGCGCAGCCAGCTGGAGCCCGGGCACAGCTGCCCGCACTGGTCGCAGTGGTACAGCCGCTCGCCCACGTGGACGCGCAGGTGCCGGCGGAGGTGCGAGCTCTGGCGGAAGCTGTCCCCGCAGCGGGGGCACGCGTAGGGCTTCTCCCCGGTGTGCGTGCGCTGGTGCTTGCTCAGGGCTGCGCTCTGGCTGAAGCGCTTCCCGCACGCTGGGCAGGAGTAGGGCCTCTCGCCCGTGTGCACCCGCTGATGCTTGGCCAGGTCCGAGCGCTGCCTGAAGGCCTTCCCGCACTCGGGGCAGGGGTGGGGCCTGGGTCCTTTCTCGGCCTGTGGCCCCACCTCGAGGCCGCCGCGGGGCCCCGAGCCGCAGGGGAGTCCTGGCTCCTCCCAAGGGGTTTCCCGTTTGGGCGAGAGGGACCCTCCTGCCCGCTCCTCCCCACCGTCCCCAGGAAACGGGGGCAGCCCATCCTTCTCTTCCAGAATTTCTTGCTTTGGAATCAACGCTTTGTTCTCCCTTCTGGTTTCCAAACCTGAAATTAAAAATAATAATAATAACAATAATAATAAGAAGAAGAACGGTCACTTCTTTCCTGGGCAAAAGTGAAACCAAGTGCTGGCTGGCCCAGGGCGACACCCTCCCCCCACCCCCAGTGTTCCCCAAGAATAATCATGCTGATTCTCTGCAGTGGCCTGATGGTAGCTCCATCAGCCCTGCCACCTCTCCTGCCATCCACCGTTCTCTAGAAGCAGGCCTGGAAGGTGGACAAGAGGGACAGCTGGGTCTGTGTGCTGCCCAACACGGGCCTCCAGCCACCCCCTCATCTAGGATGTTGTTGGCTCAGTCCCAGGAGGCTGTACCTTCTGAATGCCGCTGGCGGTGGGAAGAGTGTCGCTTCTGGGCCAGGAGAAGCAGGCAGGGGCGTCATACTGTCCTCTAACACTCCCCTCCTTCAGAGCTCAGCGGGCTGCATCCCTTAGCAGGTCCCCAGCTCCCTCAGGAAAAGTGTCTGCTGAGTGTTACTCAGTCATACACAGGCCACCCAGGCTGGGCGGGGAAATGGAAGCTACTGACTGACCCGTTACTGAGGACGCTGACCCCAATACATAGAATTCTCAGGGTTTTGTTTTTTGCTTTTTGGGTCGCACCGGTGATACTGAGGAGTTACTCCTGGCTCTGCACTCAGGAATCAATCCTGGCGGTGTTCAGGGGACCCTATGGGATGCTGGGGATTGAACCCGGGTCAGCCTCGTGCAAGGCAAATGCCCTCCCTGGACTATTGCTCTGGCCTGAATTCTCAGGTTTGATCTTGACATGCAAATAAAGTGAAAGCATTTCAGGAATGCCTATACGAAAACATTGATGAGACATGAAGTCCATTGTTGGGGAACAGTTTTTCCCCAGTGTGCCTGGACATGTTGTGCACCGAGTCCTGGCAGATGTGCTGAAGGATGATGGGCATGTGGAGAAAGCCCTCTGGGAGCAGCTCATGACTGTTCACTTTATTGCCAAATACACACATTTTATATAGGGTCTCTGCTTACAGGAAGGTCCAATCACATAAAGTTTAGCATTATGGGCCTATCACCTTTCCTACTCTGCTTTCCCTAGTCCAAGCCCAATCAAGGCTAGATGCTGTGGTTAGGATAACCTGCTAAGTGTATGTGACAGTTTCTGTGTCTTTGGAGCATGTGACTAGCATGTGCAGAACATCCTGTGCTGACAGCCTGTTCCTGCCAACTTTGCCCAGATGCTCCCTCTTGCGAGGCCTCGTTTCTGGGGCGTTTTGCAAGGTTGAGTGCCTGTCACCACGTTCCACAGCTATGAAAGAAGAAATCTGACAACCTATAATGAACGTTCAGGCTAGCAGTCACTGCTGCACCCAAGGAGCAAGAAAGCTACAAGAGGCCACACCCAGCAGTGCACAGGACTTACTCCTGGCTCTGTGCTCAGGAATCACTCCTGGCAGGGCTCAGGGGACCATATGTGGTGCCGGGGTTCAAACCCAGGTTGGCCACATACAAGGCAAGCGCCCTCCCTGCTGTACTCTCTATGGTCCCTGTAAGAAACGTCTAAAACATAATAAAAGCTCTTGAAAATATAACAAGAGCAGAAATATGTCAGAGAGAGCTCAGGGAGAACTGGTATTCAGCAGTTAGAATAGGCCAAACAAGGAATTAATAATTCCAAGGAAAACTAAAAGTTATAAAGGCATACAAACATACATCATGTGGGTTAACACAGATAATGGCTACACGGGCATAATATTGAGAAACACTTCATCTTATACAGGGATAAAAAATGGAAAACATCTGGGAGGGAGGGGTTTGGGCCACACCTGGCAGTGCCAGGGATCAAACCAGGGTCAGTGGCATGCAAGGCAAGTGTCTTAAGACTTGTACTACCTCTCTGGTCCTCAGGTGCATTTTCTGAAAAGTGAGCCGACATAAAGGACTAAACATATCACTGAACTGCTCAGATCAGAAAGATCCCTCCTGGTCTTGGTCAGGCAGAGTCTATCCCTCTTCCTGTCTGTCCTTCCAAATGTCACACTGTCACAGAGCTGCAGGTTCACTTACTTGGGGACACCATGTCTCCTGGGGAACAGGAGGCTTTCAGCATGCTCTCCCCGTCGAGGTCTCTCTGAGTCAGGTCCAGCTGCTCCAGCCCCGCCCAGGCCAGAGACACTGCCGTGTCCTCCACTGCCACCAACCCCTAAAACCACACAACACAAGTGACTTGGGCACCCAGCTCCTCCCCCGGGCCCAGATCCGCTTCTATCACCCTAGTGCCAGGTATCGACCGCAGTAGGCAGCGAGGCTTCGGCCATGGGGTGTGGGAAGGTGACAAGCCCCAAGTCTACGCTGTGCTTCTAGACACCAAGTGTCCGTGCTTGGGCTGCCTCATCTGGCCTCTCCCTCGCAAAGGCCAGCACAAGTGCCGCCAGAAGTTCTCCTGCTGCTGTGCTGTCCTAGGGCCCTGGCAGGTGGTGTCTCCTGTCCAAAGCACTTGAGTGTTACAAAATCTATCTTGGTCACAAGCTACTCCTTTGGCTTCTTGGCAAAGGAAAACTATCCCAGCGGGTCTCCTTTAGACTCCAGGACGCTGCTCTGGGCTGTACTGAGCTCGGACATCCTGAGGCAGGCGGAGGGGCCCCAGCCCGAGGCAGGGGTGAGGAAAGATGGACAACCTATGGCAGAGCATAGTGGCTGACGCCACAGGGAGCTGCAGCCCATGGAGAGGAGCCCCTGGCGTGGGGAAGGGCAGAGGCACCGCCTGACTGCTGTGAGCTCGGAGGCCGCTGCTCTCCCGCACGTCTGAGATCTCTAGCTGACCTGGGTGCGGCCCAAGTCCTGGAGAGAGGCTGGAAAGAGGCTGGAAAGACCATCCCTCCCCCAGGGCTTCTTCAACTCTAGGACCAGACTCCAGGGAGGGGCCAGTCACTCCACAAGTGATAAAGAAAGGGCGGGACCCAGGGCCCCCCACGGGTCTACACCCCCTTCTCCCACTGCAATAAAAAATGGGCTAGACCCAGATCTTTTATATTTGTTTTTTGGGCCACACCTGGCTTACTCCTGGCTCTGTACTCTGGGGTCACTCCTGGCAGGTTCGGGGCATCATATGGGTGCTGGGGATAGAATCCGGGTCGGCCATGTGAAGGCAAGTGCCCTGTCCATTATACTGTCTTGCTGGCCCCAAGACCCCTATTTTACAGTAGCTACGTAGCTCTGTCCTGGAGTCCAGCAGCAGCAGCTGAGTAGCACAAGATGGCAAAGAGCAAAGGATGGTACCCAGTCGGGTCGCGCTGTGTTCAGCGAGAGGGGCTTAGCTAAAGTGGGACGGAGTGAATTATGACCAGAGCAGGCCTGCTCATGTAAAAAGCCATGAGATACCTGTGATGTTTATAGGTAAAGACTGAAAAAGCCCCAAGCAGGAAAAACTGACACCAGATGGCCTCCAACTTAACTGAATTCTGATGTTTACACCTGGAGTGACACCTCAGGTGGGGGGCTGAGTGCAAAGGGTGACCCTCTCTCCTGTGCAGGTATCAGATCAAGAGGTCTAGGCTGCTGGCTACAAATCCGCGGGTCTCAGGAAGCACCCTCCACCTTGACTACACTATCCGGACTCTCAGAACTCGTGGAAGTCATGGCAGATTTACTGACTTACTCTAGAAGGCTGCAGAAGGGCCTGGAAATAGCAGAATGGGTTGGAGCAAAGGCTTTGCAAGCAGGCCTCACACGGGAGAACCATTGCCAACCGAAGGAGGAGGAGATCACCGAGTCATCACCCGCGTAGGAGGACTTCGCACTCGGGGCGGCGGGGCTCCGCGGCCCCGCTTCCCACCCAGCCTCGTTTGACGGCCGGTCCCGGGGGCTCCAACGCGAAGCCCCGCGCCCCGCCTCACCTGCGGGCAGAGCCGACCAGGCGCGGGCACCGCGCGCACGGCGGCCGCGGCCTCGTCCCCGCTCTCGGGGCCGTGCGCCCGCACCCAGGCCTGCAGCTCCCGCGGCAGGACGCTCAGGAACTGCTCCAGCACCAGCAGCTCCAGGATCTGCTCCTTAGAGTGTCTCTCGGGCCGCAGCCAGCGGCGACACAGGTCCCGGAGCTGGCGCAGAGCCTCTTCGGGTCCCGCCCCCTCCTGATAACGGAACCTCCGGAAGTGCTGGCGACAAGCCTCAGGATCTTGACAGTCCCCGCCTCGAGGAGACTCTTCCTCCACCTTCACTATCAAAAGTCCATCCCGCAGGGGCGGTGTGGCCAGCAGCCAGGACCCCGTCGCGGCGTCGTTGCCGGGACTCGCGGCCAAGAGAGAACTCATCGCTCTCCGGCTGGGAAAGACTTTCTCAGGATGCGGCGTGCAGGCGGGAAGATGCTCCTGGGGTCTCCCTAAAGCCGGGACGCACCGATCCCCCCGCGGACCCTCGGGTATCAGCACTCAGCGGTAACTTGCATCTCCCGGCTACGAGACGACGCTTGCCCAGAACGGAAATGCGTCACCGGCCCCCCCCCCCCGCGCAGGTGCCTTCCCCATGCGGTCATTTCCGAGTCTTCTCTAGGCGTCCCGGAGGATTGCGATGCATCTCGGTGGCTTGCCATCAAGTTCCTGAAGAAGCTAGTACCGAATCTTTCCCGGACGATGCGGTGACTGCGATCCTTGGAGATGTGCACGGTGTAGATTTGTATAACCGAAGGTGGAAGTAACCAAGCCTGGTGGCGAGTTTTAATCGCAGAGTCCTTGTGGGCCAGAGACCTTTTTATTTTGCTTTTGGGTCATACCCGGGGATTATCAGGGGTTACTCCTGGCTCTCTGGTCAGGAATCACTCTGGCATTGCTCCGGGAACCATATGTGATGCTGGAGATCAAATCCACTAGGTCCCTTGTAAGGCTAGGGCCCTCCCCGCTGTACTATCTCTCAAGCTCAAGGCTACAGCTCCTACTACTACTTTCTTCCTTTTCCTTCTCCTCCTTCTTCCTTCTTTCTCCTCCTCCTCTCAGGACTGAAACCAGCTGTGATTGGAGGACCATATGTGGTGCCTGGGTAGAACCAGGGTTAACCTTACTTCCTGGATGGCCTTCAAGACATATTTTAATTTAAACATACTTGAGATTTGCAAGCAATAAATTCATAACAGATTTTACCAGTCCCCTGACACGGGGTTGCCTATGTCTAGCTAGCTCCCTTGCAAACCTCACTTAGATGTCAAAGTTGCCAAGGATTTTGTTCTAGTCTTAAGTTCAACTTGTCTTTTTTGTTATTTCCTGTTCTTCAACTTTAGGTATGATGGCCAGGAAATTGGCCCTCACACCCATTCTCTTCTATACATCTATATTTTTAGATATGTTTCCTTGCTTCATGGTGACTATGTTACTATAGTGATTATAAATCACTTCCTAATCACTTTTGGTCTTTTGGGGTGACACCTGGCTGTGCTCAGGGCTAACCCCTTGATGCCCAGGGTGAAGTCGTACTGAAAGGAACCAACAGAGCTGTTCTGTCAATGTTAGTCTCTCCAGTTAAAGGTCTCTGAAGACAAAGTTTTGTTTTTTGTTTTTAATTTTTTGGGTTTTGGACCACAGCCGGAATTGCTCAGGGTTTATTCCTGGCTGCGTTCTGGGATCACTCCTAGCAGGGCTTGGGGGACCATATGGGGTTCAGGGGATCGAACCTGGGTGGGCTGCGTAAACGCCCTCCGTGGCATCATATCAGAGGGAGCCTGAAGCATGTGTGGGAATGAGCTTTGTCTGGGGGATAAAGGGGGCTCAGGGGACCAGCAGGTGCAAAGGCCCTGGGGTGGGGCCTCACCTGTCAAGTGCTGGCCAAATGCAGGGACCATGCATTGGAAGAACAGCCAGGAGGCCGTGTAGCTGCGGGTGGACCGTGGGAGGAGAGGAAGTTTGGTAACTGTTTGCCCTGAGCCCCAATCCCCACTGTTGGGCAGAGTAGGGACTGACTGCTTATTTTTAATCGAATCCTGCTGGTTATTGCAAGAACAACATGGGAAGCTGGAGAAAATCCCACTGTAGTCTCAAACGGGGATTTTCTCTATTTTTTCTTTCTCATAGTGTAGACCTCAGTGCTAGCAAGACGTCCTTAAAGTTCTGAGATCAGACGAGATCGTGTGCATTCAGGGTGGTATGACCGTAGTACATCCTCAAAGTTCATCCATGATTGCGGCCTTCTGATCCAGGTTGGACCGAGTGAGCCTCTGTTCAGCGACGTGTTAAGGGTGGTCATATCAACTCTTGTCCTTCCTAACAGTTTTGGGGACAGATACAAAAATGCGAGATTATTAAGGGTGGGACCTCGTGGCTAGTGAAGCCTTTGCTGGAATGACTCCCCTCTCCTCGGATGCGGGCTGCCGAGCCCACTATTCACAGTTTGGAGGGCAACCGACTTGGCAGCACACCCCGTTCCAGCCGAAGGCGCTGGAAACGCTTCTGCACTTCACTTTGATAGGCTGGAGGTGGAGAGCCGAGAGTACGACCCGCGCGGCGCTTTCTGGGAGATGTAGTTCCTGGGACCGCTGGCTCTGAGAACGGGCAGGATTGGCGCTGGGGGTTGGTGAGCAGGAGGGCGTATTTGGGAACGGGGTTCGGAGAGGGACAGAGTTTCAGGTGTAGATTCTGAAAAGTCCAAAATGACCGAGACGTGAGGGTTGCAGACAGGAACGACCCACTTCGGACTGGGGCGTTGGGAGCGCAAGTTGCACGGTCAATCGGACACGAGCAACTGTTGCCTTAGCGACTTTTAAAGTGCCCCCAGTACCCCGCCCCAGGCTCCTTCTAGGACAAGGAAAGAGCTTGGAATATTGAAATAGACCTGAAGTGGGGCGAAGTGGGACAGGGACGAGAGCAGCTCAGTTTTTCTCTCTGCTCTGTCGACGCAGTGGCTTTAGCCGCCGAGTGACGGAAGATGGGACTGGCACGGGCCCGACCCGTCAGGTCCCCTTTGATTGGCTCCTGGCACCTTGGGGGGCGGAGGTCTTATAGCCTTCTCCTCTCTGATTGGCCCTCAGTGTTCCGGGGGGCGGGGCCAGGCGGTGGCTTTCCCGCCCGCTGCGAGGCGAGGACCTCCGGGATTCCTAGAGAGGACTCGGAAGTGCTCTTGGGGGTGGGGTTTAGGACTCGACCCGACGGGACCGGGAGAGCCCGGACTGGCTTACTTCCGGCGGGGCAGTGTTGCCAAGTGTCGCTTTGGTCTTTTGCCCTCGGTTTGTGGGAGGAAATCCATCTTCCTCGAGCTGCCGCGGGCCGGAGCCTCCGGAGAAGCGTGGGAGGCCCCGGGACTGGGGCCTTGAGGAAGGGGAAGCGCTTCGGCCGTGTCCGCCCGGGACTCCTGAACCTCACCTTGAGCGGCCCACCCCGCGTGTCCGGGTCAGGGGCGGTTCCGCGGACCCGGGCCCCCGCTGCCCTCGGAGCCCCGCCGTGTCCGGCACCAATGAAGCCTCCCGTTGGTCAGCCGCGCTCTTGTGGCCTGACGGGCAGGACCAGTTGGGACCATTTCGTTGTCGATCCCCGTTCTGGCTTAAATTCGACCGACGGTCGAGAGAAGGAGCGGTTGCGTCCGGAGTCGTTGGTAAGTCGCCTTGTCCTCTCTATAAAATCAGAATTTCTTCTCAATGAAACTGATGTTTGGCTCGGCCCGATGCCTACCTTCTAGGTTCTGTTTGACGTGCTATAAAAATATGAAGTGTCATCTTGATAATCATTAGGAGCAGAGCGGTGGCCGTATCTTCTGTCCGAAGATCTGTTTGTCATTTCTTTGCTAATCGTGGTTTCTGCTTGTCCGTAGGCGGTGCACTCATGAGCTCGTGAAAGCAGATTTGCGCGAAGCACTGACCCAGCTCACCTGGAGCCACCCACTCTGAGCTGGGATGATCATGACGGGATCCGGGGCGGTTATAGACCTAGGCCCGCCGGCCGAGGCTTCCCCCAACCAAGAAGACCTTCTCATAGTGAAGGTGGAGGAAGAAGACTGCACGTGGATGCAGGAGTACAACCCACCCGTGTTTGAGACATTTTACCAGCGCTTCAAGCACTTTCAGTACCACGAGGTGTCGGGGCCTCGGGAGGCCCTGAGCCAGCTCCGCGTGCTCTGCTGTGAGTGGCTGCGGCCCGAGATCCACACCAAGGAGCAGATCCTGGAGCTGCTGGTGCTGGAGCAGTTCCTGAGCATCCTGCCTGAAGAGTTCCAGGCCTGGGTGCGGGAGCATCGCCCTGAAAGCGGGGAAGAGGCAGTGGCAGTGGTGGAGAGTATCCAGAAGGAACTCGAGGACCACAGACGGCAGGTGAGTGAGAGGGGAGGAGCAGCAAGGAAGGAGAGGATGAGAGGGAGGGAGCTGCCTCCGTTTCCTCTTTCTTCTTTCCTTCTGGGATGATGTCCACTATGGTGATTTCCGACATAGCAGCAAAAAGAATCAGTGTGTTAACCTGGGGAAGGCAATCGGTGATTTACTTTCTGTTGTTGCTTTTTGGGGTCACACCTGGTAGTGCTCAGGGATTACTTCTGGTGATATTTTAAAGGACCCTATGTGGTGATGGGGATCAAAGTGGGGTTGGGCACATATTAGACAAGCTCCCTACCTGCTGTACTGTCTCTCTAGTCCTTATAAAAGAAATTTTGGCCCACAATCTGATATATAAAGCTATCAAACTTCTGATAATTGCTATTATGAAAGATGCCATATTCCATTTCTGTCCTATTCTCTCTCTGTTTTTTTTTTTTTTTTTTTTTTTTTTGCTGTTTGGGTTACACCTAGCGACGCTCAGGGGTTATTCCTGGCTCTGCACTTAGGAATTACCCCTGGCGGTGCTCAGGGGACCATATGGGATGCTGGGAATCTAACCTGGATCGGCCATGTGCAAGGCAAATGCCCTACCTGCTGTGCTATTGCTCCAGCCCCCTTTGTCCTATTCTCATGTGCACTTCTTTGATTTGATTGAGTTGACTCTTTCAGAGAGCTATGCATGCCCTCTTTTAATAATCTGAATAATCTGCCTGACTTATTTTTTCTCTGGAAAAAAAAATAGACACTGTGTTTGTCATCTGAGTTGCAAATGCCATATTTCCATTTTGTTTTTCGCCTTTGCAGGTTTTGAGTTTTGGTTTTGGATTTGGGACCACACTTAGCAGTGCTTAGCTTACTAAGCACTGTACTCAGTCTTGTAGCAGAACTTGGGGTACCATCTAGGGTGCACGTGTTGGAATCTGGGTTGGTCACATACAAGGCAAGTGTCCTCCCTACCTGCTTTAGTGTTTCTCTGACCCTGCATCTTCCTTTCTGTGAGGGAGACAAAATGCTATTTCTTGGGGTGGTCAGGGTGGGGAGCCTAAAGAGGGGCTTTTCTCAGGCTGCAGGCTCCTCCTCGCTGTGTGTATTGCATTTCATTTCACAGTAGCTGTGTGTCTGGGAGCCC